ATAGTCAGTGATTCTTATTAATTTATCAGTAGAAAGGTGTAAAATCTTGTTTCTATTAGTCCCAAATGAGGTATCTATATAAGTAATACGCTAAGGCTCCGCGGGGGGCGCGACGTCTCGGCGAGCCTTTGTTTTCTATTGTTTTTTAATGAGATCGCCGACCCAAGTTGGTGCGGCTATCTCCTCCTGAACCCTCCCCTCCGGGTACCCGTGCCCGGTGCCATCGTCTGCGGGAGAGTCTACTCTGTGGAATTGGCTATACTCCGCCCGAGGTCCCCCTCCGTGTCGACGTCCAGGGCGAAAACAGACGCGATATGCATAATGCAGGATATGCGTGACGACAGAGATACCTCATGGATATTCAACATTACATCCGTAGACACACGACCGATGACTATCCACTCACATTAAGTTGCGTATTAAATGCGCTATGCAAAGGGCGGGATTACCGAGAGTAAAGCATCTTTCTATAGGATGTGCTTTGTTGTAGCTAGGATGTGCTTTGCATATGTAGTAGCTGCACAAGAGATACACGGGGCTTCCCGTCGACGTCCAAACTTAGAGACCTATTTCCATCATGATTGCCGCGATTTTTATATAGTTTTCGTGAATGAAGGTATGAACTCAAAGCTTATTTTGTGATTATTACGGCCATGTATACTCAATTTTGATTATCATTTTCTAAAGGAAAGTTTTGACAAGAAAACCATTGGACTGACAATTCAGTCGCAAGCTAACTTCAGTCACCACACATCACAGTGCAGTAACTCCAGGAATCTCCAACACCGGCACCAGGCACCGCAGGCGTCCGAGGCCTGCGGCGCCGGTGTTCGAGCTTCATGGAGTTACGCTGGAGTGTTATGTGTGTGAGTACAGCTGAGCTGAGCTCGAGTCGAAGAGATTTGACACTTTGAAATTGTTATCTGTTGGTTTGCATCATTATTGCCGCGATTTCAATATAGTTTCGTGAATAGATTTACGAAACCTGAGCTTAGAAGTAGTAAAAGTATTACTAATGTCTACGTTTTTTAAACGACTGTCTGATTTTCTTGTGAAAATTTTACTTTGAAAAATAATTATCGAAATTTATGGTCAGAAATAATCACAATCTAGGGTCTATTATGTTACAGTTCTTGCATCAAATCAATGCATGAAAACTTAGTTATTGAACTAGAAAAATGTTTTTTTTTTTAAATAGACAATTATGAAGAAGGAAACCTGAAACCCTGAGTTGAGTGTATATTTGTTTCAAGGGGCCATAAACCCCCAAAAGCTCGGGGGTTACGTTCTTCAAAGTTGGGGGGGGGGGGGGGGGGGGGGGGGGGAGAGATCAGATCGCAGCGAGTTGAGTGTATATACAATATAGGCGTGGGGTCCACGGGTTTCAAGGGGCCATAAACCCCCGAAAGCTCGGGGGTTTTAGGCGTTTAATTAGGGTCAGATGAGCATATTTTTAATACTTTATTTGTGACACTTGCGGGTCACTAATTGGCGTGGGGTCAATACGTAGAGTTGCGTAGTGTATATGCTGAGGGACAGAAAGGGGTACGCAAGATGAACGAAAACAAGTCAACATGTTTAATTTTTTTCGCGTACTTTCAGCGTAGAAACTTGACGCAGAAAGTACGCCTTTTTACGCAACACTGTGCTACCCTACGCCAGATCGTCAAAGCAGTAAAAGCTTTCCACACAGTAAGCAACCATATAAGCAAACCTGTACTCCAGCCTATGCATAACCTACGCAGGGACTATTTTCCCATTAATACGCAGCCTAATTTCTGCGTAGTCGGTACGCCACACTACGGAACTCTACGCAGTTCCAGTGGCTTAAAGAATAAATACCGGTACAGTTGGATCGTTTTTTTTAATTTTTTTATATAAGGCCAAATTTAAAAAAAAAACATGTTTAGCGTCCTGTTTTTTCTGAAAAATGGGAAGGAGGAGGCCCTTTTTTTTTTTTTTTTTTTTTTTTCTTTCAAAATGGCTGCTCCGTACATTTTCCCTGACATTCAGGCTATTTTTCAAGATGGCAGCCGACAATTTTTTTCTTTTCTTTTTTAAGATCAGAAATACATTTTAGCAGTGCTTTTCATGTTTTTTTTCTTTAAAAAAAAAAAAAAAAATAGGAGAGGCGGCCCCCAGAAAGAAAGCGGGTGGGGGACGCTGTTTTTTTTCTATCAAAAAATGAAGAAAAAAAAAAAATTCAAAAAATGTAAAAAAAAAAATAGGCGGCCCCCAAAAAGGAAGCGGGCGGGGAAGCTGTTTAAAAAAAAAATATATATAGGAGGTGGCCCCCAAAAAGGAAGCGGGCGGGGACGCTAAACATGTATATTTTTTTAATGGCCTGAATGGCAAATAAAGTTCTCGGTGGTTTTAATTTAGACAGTCTCTATATATCTATTTACACCCCCGCCCCCCTCTAGAATCCCGCGGATTTCCGCGGGTCCTGCTAGTACTGTATATTACTCATAATAACTGGATGGAGCAGAGTAGCTAGGAATTTGTTGGGATGTGTGTGTGGGTAGGGGGGGGGGGGTGTTGAAGCAGGGTAGGGGGGGGGGGGGGTCGTTGAAGCAGGGGCTAAAAGACAAGGTTTTTTTGTGGTGGAGTGCTTATTATGGTTCTACCATGGACCTACTAAAAATCTTCTGAAAAACAGATTGGCCAAGCAAAAAGAATGCAGTTATGCACTCTCAATTTTTTCCAAGGGGGGGGGGGGGGGGGGGGGGGGTACTGTATCATGGAGCATGTGTACCCAGGGGGTGTTTCACAAAGATCCTAAGTTAAAGTTATCTCTAGGTTGGACTTAAAAATTATGGAAAGCCGTAACGTTTTGATTCATATCATTCATATTTTATATCATCAAAGAGATTTCATGTTCTGGTTGTGGAATTTATAAAAAGTCTAAAATACTTGAATTTCTGCTTTTGAATATATTTCACTTTAAGGCTCCAATGGCTTTCCATAATTTTTAAGTCCAACTTAGTGTTAAGTTCTACTTAGGATCTTTGTGAAACCCCCCCCCCCCCCCCCCCCCCCCCCCCCCCCCCCCCCCCCCCCCCCCCCCCCAGGACCCCTTGTTACACTGATGACTAGCAGCCTGCTTTCAAATCTCGGGCTAATGAGAACACACCTTATTTATTATGACGGGGAGAGAGTGTAAAATAACCTCTTTTCACCGACATCCTTCAGATAGTGTACCAGCAGGTGCATATAGGTAAATCAGAGTGATACATGTAAGTGGGTGGACGTTGCCATAAAAATAACTCAATTTCGATCCATATTGCTATTGCTTAGTAATAGATGAATTTATATCTTTTAAATAATAACTTGTTCCAAAAGGTCTTCGTGTTCAGGGACACCTTTTTATTTGACATGCACTTTCAAGCAATTTTTTCAGGCTTTCTCAGATCAATTCCAATTTAATTCACCTTCCCCCTTTCTCTCTCTCTCTCTCTCTCTCTGATCAATTCCAATTTAATTCACCTCCCCCTTCTCTCTCTCTCCCTCCCCCTCTCTCTCTCTCTCCCTCCCCCTCTCTCTCTTTCTCTCTCTCTCTCTCTCTCCTCTGTGTCTATCTCTGTCTTTTTTTGTCAAGATACACATACATTCTAGGTGTTTTATTTGCAGTTTCTGAAAACTTCCCGTATTACGTCTAGTGCTATTGATTTGCACAAGTTTGCCAGCTGCTCTATAAGACATTATACTTTGCATCGAGCAGTCTAACATTGGATCAATATAAGGAACTTTGAGCTTCTGAAATGATCAATGAAAATGAATGAATTAACCCACTTATATTTGCAAAATGAAATCGTAAAACCAATTTCAGTCCAATGTTTCTGACGTTGATTATGTATTTCATTTGCTACTTGTATGTTTTTGGACATGAAAAATGTTCATACATGTACATGTACAGTGTACATAGTTGAAAATATTGTGATCATTTTAATGGGTCCATAAATGGCACTATAAATTGGGTTGGGTGGCATAGCTTCCCCCACCCTCTCCCCTCTTCTTTTTTTTCTTTTTTACCAATGCATGTACACATACACTGTAGTTCAATAACTAAAGTGATTGAAATTCTATGCAAAAAGTAAAAGACAATCAAGTTGAATCAACGTAAGAAATTGACATGATTAATTGTGATTGGTAACGAGTTATTAACTCAATAGGGCCTGATGAAATTAATAATAATATTGGTCACAAGTTGTGATATGAAGACTTTGTGTGTTCTTTATTCTGTGTGGCTTCTGTCAAATATTGTGGATTCTTAAATATTTTTAAACACAGGTTTCTTTTATTTATTGTATTTTCTTTACAATTTAGATGATTAACAAGATCATGATTATGATTAGGTTCTAGTGACTCAGACTTGAGTTGTATGTCCTCACACTTACACTGCAGTGAAAACAGGAAAATATAAAAGAGATAATTACATGATATATTTATCTATAAATATCCTGTACATGTACATGTATTATGGTCCCTCCAACTGAAATCATTATCTTTCATTTAAGAGCTTTGTGTTTCATTATTTAAGAGATTAGTTTTAAATATAAGTTTTATTCAACGTCATGATATTGATTATTAGTTAACTCATCGTTACTAGGAAACCTCCCCCTCTGTATCTCTAGTGTAATTGAAAACTAGATGCCATTAACAACTAGCTGACAAGAGGTAAAAGTAAAACAAATACTAGGATTCTAATTGTTCAGATCACAGTACCCATTGTTAAATTTGCCCACGAGTGAACCTCAGGTGTTCATCAATGGAATCGGGCTTCAAAAGACTTTGACAACCCATCACCAACAGAAAAGCCTGTGATCCTTTGTAACCGACCCACCAGGGTGTGACCCAGGGGGGCAGAGTTTCCCCCCTTGAGTTGAATCCATTCTATCAACGAGACAATAGCTAGGGGGAGTCGGAGGGAAAGAGGGTTAAGAGTATAATAGCTCGCTAAACTCTGTACATAACGGGGGAAGGGGTTTGTTTGGATCACCTCTGCTTTGCCTGTGGGGTATTTGGTACGTGCAGGGGTTGCAGTGAGGTGAGTGCACCGGGTCACGAGAGTTGGATTCCTGGAGTCTGAAACCCCTATAGACATTTACAGTTTGTAGAAGATCTGGCATCGGATGTCTTCGAGAATGCAGTCTTTGACATTGATATGTCTGAAGGGCTTGTGAGCAATCTCTTCCAAACTTTGCTGCTTTGGATAAGATCTTTGCTTGGGTATAGCACCACACAGAAGCCTTATAATGTATGTAGCAGAGCATCTGATGTCGGTTGAATGAATCTGATCAAAACGAATTGTTTTGGCTACCTTGCTCATCCTTATCGCACATAATCCTTTCTTCATGCTTCGATAGTGAACATTGGGATTTCTACATGGTTTGGTGCAAGAAACTTGTATGAAGTTTGATGTAAGAGGACAGTGAACGGCTTGTGCCCATCTATTCATTTGATGTGTGTGCAATATATCTTGCTACAGACAGTATATTTGAAAAAAATTGACATCTTGTTGCTATAGTATCTACAGAATGGTAGTTATGAATGTCATTAAAGTCAAAGTCTGCATACATCATAGTAAGTGTTGACTCTCTTCCCAACTTCATGTGGATAGTGCAATTGTCATTCCCTATAATAGACATACATGTCGTTTTTGCTGACGGGTTATTAAATATTTATCAAAGATTAGTGCTACAGTACATTGGAGCTGCACTTTTAAAAGCTGTATGTGATTTTGAGTCGGGGTAACCAGATAATGAATTGTGCGATCAACATTTCATCCAAGAAATTGGCCTATCTATACTCTTCGCTTTTCAATTGATTATTGACTTTGGACAAACTTGGAATCCAGATTGGTTCTCATCATGTAGAAGTTGTCAGTCGTGTGAGGAGCATCCATATAATTATTGAACGTTCAAATCATAAACTTGGAGTAGTGTAAACATACCAGAGAAGCAATGCAACCAATAAAGACATTATTACATGTACCAACAAAGAGGTTCAGACACTGCTGAATTTCCAATCAGTGCCTCTATCACATCTTTGTTTACCTGTTGGGTAACACTGTTTGAACTCGGTTGGTAATCCTCCTGTCTTGGGATCATGTTTCGTATGACCTACCATCACCGGGATACCCTCAGTGCCGGTAATGCGCCGCACAAGGTATACTGCACCATGGAGGGAGGTCGTAGGGTGGTCACCGGCATGCCGGCTCTCACCATTGGGTAAGTTATCAGAGAATGTACGAATGTGTAGATTACAGGAGTTCAATAATATTTTTCTTCTTCTTTTATTTATGACGATAACTGTACACTTCCAAACAGCTCTTATTCTTAAAGAGATCAAACAGGCATTCATGATATTGATGAAACACCTACATGTACATTGCAGTTTCTCCAAGTATGTTCATACATGTACATGTACATGTACGTCTGCAGTGAGCCTGATGTACAGGGTTGTATCTTCATCATCCTGCATCTACATGTACTTATAGTGTACCATCTATATATAGACAACATGTTGCAACAACTAGACCAGTCATCAATGTGATGTGTTAAAAAAAAGAAAACACAAACTGTTTAACTTTTATGACTCATACAAGTATGCATAATATACTGTACATAGAGCCCTACATTTGTCATTGTATATTCATAGTCCATAGAAACAGGTACACCTTCATTTCTTAAAGGTACCGGTGATACAAAGTTTTTGTATGGGGTCATGAATTTGGTTCAAATGAACATAGACCTATTGGAAACATATATGCGATCCTACAATATTCAGTGATCGATTTAGCAGTTGAAATCGAGTGTAAAGTTATGAAATTGTAAATACTAAACTCTTTATGTTGTATAGCTCCCTCTCAAGGCCAAGATATGAATTACCGGTAAGCCATAAAACAATGTTTCTTAACTAAAATCGACCGATTGGCTATTCCTGTTTGGAAATTATATATCACAACCGGGCTACATATTTTGAGATTTTCATGGTCGCATCTACCATTGTATGGCTGTATAGGCACTTCCGGTATTTGAAATTCATCAAAATTTACCGGGGAGCACCAGTAATTTTTTATATTCCATTTTTCTCGAAAGCAGAAGTGTATTAGGGGCTAAATTTTATAGTGCTTGTTAGACATCCACAGGGGCATCCAAATATATAAAAATTGTAAAGAATCACTATCCAGCCAATTATCAGAATTTCCCAAAACTTTGTATTACACTGTACCTTTAACACACCATTTAGTGATTTGGGGATTTTTTTGTTGAAGAATAATTGTCACAACTATCATTCTTTCATCGTCCTCCTTATACCATTGCCTCTTTTGTCCCTTTTCTCACTTGATAGGCTCAAGTGTTAAGCTACTGTTTTATTTTTATTTTTTCCTTCAGCTGACACTTTGTTATGAATAATTATAATTCTTGGATACATTGTTGGCTAATATTAAACCGATTGCCTACATTAAGTTCTGGAACTTGGTGATCAGAGAATTTAGTACATGTATTGTAGTCACTGTAGTCACTAGTCAACTGTTATTTAGAAGAATTTACACTTCAAAAAGGTCTGAAGTACGAATAACTGTCCCTTTCAGAGCTACATTTGCATCCCAAGTTCCCACCTGTTACCAAACACACTGTAGAATTACATACTGACATGGTAACCTGTTGACTACTGAATTCATTCATTGCCATAGGGTTAATACTGGGGACACTGGGTTCCAGTAGGCAATGGATTAATCAATAGAGTACCGAAGTTGTGACATCATACAAATCTATTTTAAGAATTTCTCAATTTTTTCTTCATTTTTTCGAAAGAGCATCAACATTAATGTCCAAATGTCGAAAACCAATTTGTTAAGTATTGGCTGAGATGTGACCATCTGAATAACAAGATTTCTTATAGGAGCTCATTGTTATTTTGCTCATGGCTCCTAATGTTATGAGCAAGAGCAAAATAAATTTTTGATGACGTCACACTTTACCACTCTATAGACACTGGCTCTCACAGAGAATTGACATACCGGTAATTGAATAACATCCTTCTGGGTGGAATCCTTGTTATCAGGTTAAAGACTTGTTTAGTTCTAAGTAGATCATTAAGAGTCTTTTGTAAAGGTATGCCTCATTGTACATAGTGCTAATCTGTATTGTGGGCAGGTGTTTGAGAGAGTATGCACAACATTGAGAAATGAACATTTGACATGATTGCAAGTATTTGAACTGTTGGTACATTGATTTCATTTGTTACTATACAATTGTTGTTAATTCAGGTTTACAAAGTACCGATATATACCGGTACCCTTGTTTATGTTCAGGACAATTGGTTAACATCTGTTTATTTATTAATAAATCAATAAAATTTGCATTATGCATAACCAACCTCCAAACCTACCATGGATTTTCCTTAAAGTTTTGTATGCAATATGGTTCTAAGAAGTTGATACCATTGAGATCACAAGCCATAATTGGTGTATTTTTGGTACCCAATAAAACACAAATGTACATGCAGCTCTGAAACTGACACCATCTGTTATTATCCCCCCCCCCCCCCAAGGAAAATGTATTATTAGTGATTTTGGTGCAGTGCCCTCTCTTGTTATAGTTGGAAAGCCCAAGTGAAGGGACACCCCCTCAGTTGTAGCGAAAAGTGTTGTGTTTACAATATAACAAATCAGATAGATTTGTAAGTGTCATAAAAATCATTTTACAGAGGAGAAGAAATACAGTGTTCTTTGAACTCTTGGTGAGGATTGGAGGGGGAGTAAAATGAATTAGAGAGGGAATAAGAGAGGGGGGATCAGAGAGGAAGAGAGAGAAAGAGAGAGAGAGAGAGAGAGTGGAAAGGAGGGGGGGGGGGGGTGTAATGACGACAAATATTTGTTTTTCTACACCTGCTTTCTACATGTAACTCTCAATCTACTAGAGATTTATATAACAAGAAAAAAAAAAGATTCTTTCCATTTTGGAATTGTTTGCGCTGTTCCTTTATTCTTTAAGACATTTTGTAAAGCGCTTAGAGACATTTGTATTTAGCGCTATATAAATTAAATTTATTATTATTATTATTTACATTTACACTTATGAGAATGAAAAGTGTCTCATTGTTACCCTCCACTCCCCTGTAGCCGTAATGGAACAGTCATGTTGCCAATGAAGCTACTGAATATTCATGATGCTACCTCTCCATTGTATCCATCTGTACGTATCCATTTGTATACCTTTCCTATTTGTAGATCTGTGTTGCATGAATAATTGAAAAGCATGTAGATGGCTTCCCGACAGAAGACAAGTGGCCCGGAAAGAGAATAATCTATTTGATACAAAGGCCTCATCAATGATGAGGGTTAAAACCGTAAAAGCACAAAAGGGCAAAAGAAGGGAGAAAAAAGCTTGCGGAGATAACGAGGGTCCAGAATTAGTACGCATAGGAGGGTGATGTTTCTATTATTAAAAGGAGGGTGCGATATAATGCCCAGCATCTATCCATCTTGGCAGTGATATGTCATGAATACTGTATGAGCTAGAAGCATTAACAAGAGCGACGCTCTGTGTTTCGTTGCATTTTTGCTGCTTCCTTCGTGAAGATACATGGATACAGAGTCGGTGTATCTGTAACGGTGTCTCTTTTTTCCCGTTAGCAAAACATCATTGTCCATTATTGATCACTTTCATTGTGAATAGAAGCTCTTCAATCGCTGACAAATAACATGGTATTATTGACTGCGTTGCAACATACGGAGCCGGTGTCGATGGAGATGGATGTGTTTCTAATGGCTTCATGATGATCGGTCCTGAGCACTGCACTTGTCCGTTTTTAACCTCTTGAATACCAAGCTTGAGACGATCATTGGAAACCTGTGTTAATTGATGAAAGGAATGGCATCTTAAGGGTTAATACAGAAGATGAGTGATAGGTTTTTAGAAGTCACACAAGCGGATGGTGATGAATAAACAAGGATACGTTATAGATCATCTCATATTGTGCATCTTCACAGTGATGTGCAACTCAATGATTGATATAAACTGAATGAGCTTTTGCTGTTTCATCATTAGCGGATATGCAACTGTTACCATTTTAACAGTGTGTACTGTACAAGTACAGGTGTAAAAACGTGTAGTTAATAGAGAGCAATCGTGAGTTCTTCTGAATCTTGACTGTTTGCACAAACTTGAGTTTGGATCAGAATGCTGAGCTCCATGTTAAACTCATATTCAAGATGCTTTCAGGGGACAGTGGAGATGCCCCAATCCAAAGCAAGAACACCTAGAGCAAATACCCCTCCTTAAGATTAAACACTTCAACACGGCCAAACATTGCTGCGACTTGAGTTGTTGGTATCTGAACTCTACCTTACTTGTAAATCTGTCAGGATAATGCGAGAAATAACTTGATAAAAACTCTTAGAGATGCCTTGTCCATCTGTCGCGGTAATGATTCGACAGTCAAACTGTTTCTTTGAGTCTGATTAAGTTGCTTTAATACCAGTGTATCGAGTGTGAGCTGTGAAAATTACCAACTATCATCAAGAAATGTAGGATTTTATCTCAACAATGTATTAGCTACGCTGAAGCTCTATGAAAGTCCTATCCATTTGACAGTCTACAACCATTTCTTAGGAGTCTGATTCAGTTGCTCTTCACTTGTGTACAAGTACAGTAGTAAGGAAGGACTTTGAGTATTAACCTTTCTGTAATGAACTTAAACCTGCCAATTCTCCACGAGGAATTGATGCCGTATTTCACCTAAAGTCTTGAGACAGTGGTCCCATCTTTCAGCGGCATTTCTTTAGGAGTCGGATTCAGTTGCTCTTAATTTCCGTACACGTAGCTAATGTATAGGAAGGATGCCGAGTACGCTAGTCGCCATGACTCTTAAACTGCCAATTCTAAATCAGAAATGGTATCTGGACGTCCTTGATAACCAGTACAGGGAGGCGCTCGGTAAAGATAAAAGATGGACAAAGGGAAACAAGAGGTTGGTATTAACACAGGGGAGAAAGGTCTTTGTGCAAGAGCTTGTCTGCTTTGAGCCAAAAGGGCGTTACTGCACAGAGTGACGAACCTTCATGCTCTCATCCGACAATAGACCGTTTTACTGTGCATGCTTCTCTCCCTAACCCCCAGGGCAGTGTTTCATGAAACCGCCATAAGTACATACTGTACAAGATCACCAACATCCCATTAGGCCCGTCTTCACTATCTCGAGATTGCCAAATATCCAGCAATTTGAACTATCCCGATCGCAAACTATCCAGCTATTTGCGTCTTCATTAGACCGAAGTAGCAAATTAGCTGGATAGTTGGTCGGGATAATATCCCAAGATATCTCGGTCTAGTTTGCAAAATATCCCACTATTTCCCAACTAGCGGGATACATGTAGTTTGCGACCGTCTTCATTAGACCGAAGTACGGAGTCAAATATCCCGATCCCATCATGCACAACGATTTCCGGTTTTCCGCGCACATGCGATCTATACCGCTCAGCGCCGCGCTAGTACAACTAGTAAACACGGAAAACCGCAAACTAGACCGAGATATCTTGGGATATTATCCCGACCAACTATCCAGCTAATTTGCAACTTCGGTCTAATGAAGACGCAAATTAGCTGGATAGTTTGCGATCGGGATAATTCAAATAGCTGGATATTTGGCAATCTCGAGATAGTGCAGACACGCCTATTGAAACGCATGTTAAACGCAATACACGCATATCAATGGGATCATGTCGGTTAACTTGTACTTTACATGTATGACAGTTTCGTGAGACGCTGCCCTGTTTACCAGGCATTTTCATTCACCTGCTATGAATAATGGCATTTTTACGAATGGAATACACTTTGTGTATTAGTTGTCACTTTGTTGGTCAAGCCTCTGGCAAGTTTTGTTTTGTGTTAATTGTCAAGAGAAACTATTTCCAAAAAATGTATAGAAACAGTTAACAATGCTATTCAATGTAGAAATAGGTAATTTTAGTCAAATTTATGTATTTTTGTTTCCAGATTCCATAGAGGAATGAGCCAATACAACTCATGTTTTGTGTACAAAAACACGCAAACAGAATATGTTCCACCTTGCCTTTACATGTTGCTAACTTGCTTCGTTGGGCAAACTGTTATCTTCATAGCACCCCCCCCCCCCTTTTGTACCAACAGTTTGATAAAACTTGAATACAGTATTAAACCATTTTGTGCAGAGTCTAGACTGGTCAGTATAGACACCTTTTCATCATTTTCTGTTATAATACTCACTACCAGTATACATACATGTAAGTCTGTACTTTGGAGAATATGATTTCCTTTTCTACCTTTTTGCATATATATGTTGATATTTGATATTTGAATTCCATACTTATATTTGTCTCTTTATTTGCATCATTTAATCAGTGTTCTTTAATACAAACATAAATTAGCCCAGTTGCTTTTTCTGTTTCATATTCTCTCTTTGAATTCGGATTATACTTTTTTTAATAGCTTTTATTAAATGTTGCTTTTTGTTTTTACTTGCATAAGCTTTTCAAGTTTTAAAAACAATATTTTTTTCTTTATATTGTTAAACTTCTTTGTTTTTATCTTTTTCAGTTAAACACATTCTTGCTTGCATTTGTGTTTTGTGTTCAAATTGTGAGCATGATGAATCCTAATTCATAGTTGTACTTTTTCAGTCATGCAAAGCTTGGATACTCTTGTACTTTCAGTTTCAATTAAAACGTGTGCAAGATACAGTAGTTCAATTTTGCATTTTTCAGTGCAAAACATCAATGCAACAAGCATTGACAATTTCCTTCTGGTTACTCTGGTCATTTCTTACATGCAAAAAATATATTTGATGGTATTTCCTACTGAACTTCTAAACTAGACTTTTTTTCTTCATTTTTTATAAGAATATCTGAATAATTTACCATTACATGTATACCGGAATATGATAAATTAATATAACATGATTTCAGAGCCATTTATACATGTAGTTCAAGTTTGTCAGGCAAGCAGGTGATGGTTATTTACAGCTTGAATCTCCTCTACTGCAACATCACAATTGTTCACAGTGTTACTAGAAACATGAATATGATGTTTTCATTTGTATCGCACATTTAGAAAAAAAATCGAGGAATCTGGGGTGCATAAAATCAGTTTTGAGGCCTCCCCAAAATAGGAATGGTTGGTACATGTAGTTATGCTAACAAAAAGACAAATCTGTTTATTTTCTTACATTTTGTTTCTCTAGCTCAAGTAACTCAACAAGTTACTCCAACCAAGATGGGGTCCAGGGCAGCTCACCGGTGGTCAGCTCCAGCGGTCAGAGTTCGGACATCAGCCGTCAGATGTCCAGCGAAGACCTCAAGCATTTTGAGAGGAAGCTGGAGAGGGAGCGGGAGAAACGGATCCACACGGAGGCGCCGCCTTCTTCTAGTTCTAGGCTAGATGCCAGAGGTGAGTTCTTCATTTGTTATTGGGTACCTACATGTACCTGGTAGGATGCGAAAGCTAACGTGGTTTGATTAGCAAGTGGCGCTTGTAGAATGGCGACTGGCTGGAATGCTCCCAAGGGAGTAGAGAGTGTGCATACCTTGTGTGCGGGTAAGCATGAATCCGATGACCGGGGTAATAGTATATCTGTAAAGCGCATTGAGAAGGCCCACGGTCCCGAAATGCGCTATAAAAGGAATAACTGTTATTAACTATTATATTATTCATTTACTTAGAAGTAATATACAGCAGTGAGTGGCATATAAGGAATGGGGGGGGGGGGGTGCATATGTGTAGGATGCACATCACTCATTCCCATTACGTGTAGATGGCAGGACAGAGAGGGAGGGAGGTAGGGAGGGAGGGAGGGAGGGAGGGAGGGAGGGAAAGAAAGAGGGAGAGAGAGGAGAGACAAAGGAGAGACAAAAAAGAGAGAGAGAGAGAGAGAGAGAGAGAGGGAGAAAGTGAAAGGGCGAAAGGGAAGTGAAGACAAAGAAGATCATGGGATGGCGGGGACCCTTCCCAGAAGATCGTGCTCAGTCTAAAAAGTGGAAAAAAGGGAGAGAGAGAGAGCGAGAGAGAGAGAGAGGGAGGTGGGGGGGGGGGGGTGGAGAAAGGGACAAACAGAAGTGAAAAAAGGTATAGACAGGACCCCTTCCACCTCCTTAATCAATAGCATTGTAAATTCACATTTCACCCACCTAGAAAAGCAGTGTGCCCCCCCCCCCCCATGATTTCAGTGTCCCCTGTCTTGAACTGGGTTCATGCTGCATCATATGTAATCCACTTAGGGCAGTTGTCATGGAGATTCAAAGGATTTTGATGATGAAGTGTCTGGGTAGTCTACTGTATATTGTTTTATGTTGATCGTCAGAAATGTTTGCCTTTAAATTGTGTTACTTTTTACGTTGCCTTTATTCACCTACCGCAATTTATTTGTGTACGGACTGTTCTTGAACTCCTAGCAGAACTATTGACCTCCTTGTATACTGCAATTTAATTGTATTTACTAGTCATAAATGTGATGTCCTAGTCATAATGTGATGTCCATTTTATTATCTCGTCATTTTCAATACTGTTCAATTTGCTTATTGAAAATTGTACTGTTCCAGCCTTAACTGAACATTAATGAAATTCAATTTATTTATTTCCATTATCCTCTTACATTGCGATCATATGGATATATTTTCCCCATGCATACACACACACATGCCATGCACGTGTAGCATTGAGGTATAGACGAATGAGTCTTCTGTCGTACAGCTCAGAAAAACAGAATAAGGATGAAGGTATAATAAGAAATAGTGATTTTATAGTTGGATACTACTCGGGGAAAAAAATATAATTTTTTTCAGGGGCTACTTTTCAAGCTTGCTAGCATACAAATAACACTCTTTAATTTGTTTTGCATTGAACTTTATGCATTTTGGGGGCTCTTTTATGACTTTCAGGGGCTCTTTTGGGCATGCCCGGAGCCCCTGTGTATTTTTCCCCCTGATACTACTACAGATTCAGATTAAAAAACACTGCTGATCATGTATTTGTAGTAATAGTGGTGCTGATCAAAGAGAAGAAGATGAAATTATAACTGTAGTGTAGTTAATACTTGATATGATAATAATCTGGATTTATATCTAGCACTTCTCTTAGCACTTTATACATTGTAGATATTATTAGTTAATATTTGATAGTTTCTATTGTTGAAGGCTTACATGTATTACATTAAAAGTAGATCTTGATAACCTATCCCATTTAATTGCACTAATGATCCCCTCAATAACAAATTCATTTTGGATTTCCCTTATCTAATTGAGTATTGTACTGTGTACATGTACATGTATGTTTGTATACAGTTGAGGCTTGTAAATTTGTCAATGATTGCAGTTTTTCTTCCTTTTTTCATCATATTGTATTTCTAGTCTAGTGGGTGTTAGAGGGAAAATTGGCTGATTTTGTTGAGTGCTGTGGTTTATTTAGAATACGGTAACAAACAAAAATATAAGCATTGCATAAAATCAATTTTATCCTTGATTATTTGTGCTGGTATCGTTGAGCCCGGCATAGACTATAATTGTAGCATTTTCAATGCTATTTGTGGTTGTTAATTTCCTTTAGTTGTGTGCCTTTGTCTTTTGTTATCAAGAAAATCAATTATTAATGCGTAGGCCCGTGGTTATTGCTATCGATTTGATTTTTTTGTCTTCGATCATGACATAATGCAGGGAAAAAATATTTTTTTCATTTCGGGGGCTCCATATCCAATTTTGGCGGAAATTTTCGAGGGTTTCTTTTTCAACTTTTCAGGGGCTTTTTTTTTCCATTTCAGGGGGCTCTTTTTTCTGGGGCTGCTTTTTCATTAATTCCTAAAAGGATGTACAGTTTGTTGAGTTTATTTATTAGGCTTACTGAATACTGGCTTATATATCTTTGCTTAAGGTTTCGGGATTCCTGCTTACATTTGTTTTAATGCTTATAATTAATTTGTAATGTTTTGTTGGAAACATGAATAAAACTTGAATTTGAATTTGAATTCATAATTACTCATTAAAAAAAAGAACTGTATCGTAGTAAATTTTTATCTTCGATCGTGACATAATCAATGTCAATGTTGCTTCTCTCTTAATATTAAAGGTGTTTTGGAGTTATTGGTTTACCAATAGTTTTGATAACAAAGTAAACATGGTTAAAGACACAAACTATTTGCCATTTAGTACAGGGCAAGGTGTAGCTATCTACTGCTCGTATGATCTTACATTTTGGGGCATATTTTGTCAAAACTGGGACAGCCCAGTAGAGTGACAGACCATAAAATTGACATTGGCCATCTAGTTGACTTTAGAAAAGTTATCACAAGGCCTGGCAGATCAATGTCAAAACTTTAAGCAGAGCTAAAGGAGAAAAAAAAACTCAAGGTCAAGAGCAGTGTATACAACTTTGTTTTGGAAACCTTAAAAAAGAAGAATAAAATAAAGAAATTAATTCTAAGAAATAGGTGAGCTTGCCTTGAGAGAAATCTCAATCAAAACATGGTAAAGCACCAATATTTGAATATTTCAATGATATTTTAGTTCGGCTGTTAATGTTACTATTATTACCTGATTTGCTGATTATCAAAATGTCTGCTATCCTTACATCCACAGTGGGTAGCGAGAGCGGGCCACAGTTCGATCTCAACAACATGAGAAGAAACGGCTTCCGACCCACTTCCAAGAACTCCTTCATGAGAGACCAGCCCAACGTTCATCTCACATCCTTCCGTCATGGCCACGCCCCTCCAGCACCTGTCGTCAACACCATCGCCTCCCTGTCAATCACCAGCGCAGGTATCAATACCATTCAATTCAATTTATTTCGCAATATAAATATTAAAGTCTACAACAGACCTGATAAAACCCGATTTAAATCGGTTTATGATTTTTTAATTTTTCCCCTATTTTTTTTTTTTCTTCCAGATTTTTATCCGGATTTTCCTTTATTTTCACTTATTTTTTCTATTCTTCCTTGTTTTTCCCTATTATTCCTTATTTTTCCCTATTATTTCCCAATTTTTCTTACTCAAAAGGGGGAAATGTTGTTAGACGCCATCACCCCCCCCCCCACCCCTCCTGAATCCTCTTCTTTTTTTTACACTCAAGGGGGGCGTGGTTGAGGGAAAATAAAAAACTTGTTGTTTTTTTAGCGCTCACTATCACCCCTGATACAAGGTAACAGTAAATGTTAACTATATTTACAAAGGTTATATGTGGGGCTTTACATGAAGGTTGCGAAAACTTATAAAGTTGGAATCGCCCATTACAGAAATACAAAATATTATAAGCACACAACAATAAATTAAGTAAAATAAGCAAAGTACAGACACTTGAACTATCTATAAGGGAAGAGAAAGTGAAATAGAAATATATATATATATATATATAAAGGGGGGAAAAGAAAACAACAATGAAAGGGGTTCAGATATAAAAAGTCAACAACTGTGATGATTAAAAACTATTTAGTAGTAAGATTTTATATTGTTTTCTGAAGGAAGATATGAATTGTGATTTTGTTATTACTTTGGAAATCAGGTACCCCCACATCGCTTTCCAGCTCCGGGGCTTCAGGGGCGCTACGGGGGCAGAGCATGGGCTTTGGGAACAGGGAAACCAGTGGAGGAGGGCTCAACACCGGGAGCTCCATGGGAAGCCAGGGACGGACTAGCAATGTGAAGACGAGAACAAGAGCTGCTTTCCTGTCGGGGCAGAGTGAAAAATACAAACGTAAGTACAGTCAAACCTGCTTTAGCAACCACCTGTCTACAAAGACCACATTTTTTGTTTCCCTTGAAAATTGTTTCTCATTGAAATATGTACTAAAGGAACCTGCACATAAAGACCACCTGCCTGTAAAGACCACTTTTCTTGTCCCACTAGAGTGGTCTTTATAGAGAGGTTTCACTGTATTAGTAAATCTTTCTCTCTCATAAAACCAGACCCGTCTACGGTCATTAGGCAAGTTCATAGTTGCAGTCTGAGCATGAGCAGGTCATTGCAGACCAAATTGTGAAATAGATGGAGACAAAATACTGGATGCATGCTCATTAAAATTATGTAATTATTATTCATTTATGCACAAGCAGTGCACTCCATAATACACAGGTGGAAGTATTTTTTGAAATAGGGAAACAAAGGCTATTTATGTAGCACCTCCATCGCTTTAGGAGTGATCATTTCAAAATGTACAAATTCAGAACTCTTCATGTTTTGAGGATCTGGGGATTTTCCAGGTCATTCAGGATACATGTGAACTGGTCTATTGTTTTTTATTTGGTAAGAGGAAGTATTGGGCTATATTGGCCCATTTATTTATGACCAAGTACAAATATATTTATGGGCACCATCTTGTTGAAAGTACTTTCCAGTCGTTTTCTTAGGACCTTTTAGTACTACAGGTGTACATGTATTTTGAATGTTGCTGCATTGTCTCTTAGTTGACCACTGACATATTGGTGTCAACTTTTTTTGCCCCTGATGACTCAGAATCTCGCAATCAAGTTAACAAAGGATAAGAAAAGGTATTGCAAAAGTGCTAAATAAAGGGGGTGTGAACTGATGAAACTACGTGTCTTTCCCGTGGCCTGACTCAGGGCCAATCGGGAATATTACGACTACGTAGAGAAGAGAACTTCGGTCTGTTTCGTGGATGCTGACCATGTAGAGATTTAGTCACTGACTACCGTTAATCAAGTCCATTCATTTGCGTGCAGATGTCCAAAAGGAGACATAGATGGCATTCCCCTGTATTCGTCAGTTTACAGCCCCTTTAAATTATCATTACAATATCAACATTATTATGTTGCTTTCTTATTTGGATATCACTAATATTCATATCTGATCGCTGTTGCCAAGAATTACTCTCTTCATTTGTACATAAACCTTATGGTATAAGGTAACTTTGATCTGATTCTAAACAAAATCCTGGACTTAGCTCATGCTGCAATCATCATTATAAACTTTTGGTTCAGAAATGAATCCCATGACTTTTACAAGCCAATGTGATTATCAAGATATTTATGATCGGAATTCAAAATTTCCAAAACTATTTTCCCAACGCTACAGTCTATGGGGGGAAAATGAGTCTGGTAAAACTGGTCACTCAAAGATTTTTATTTTTTGAAGCACTTCATGATCATTTTGAAGCACAATTCTTTTAGGACTTCAATATTACACCATATCACAAACGCTGATAACACGTAGGGCCATGCATCTCAGATTTGTAAACTGGAGATATTGCTAAACAATGCCTTTAAAAGGTAATACTTTGTCTATAAGATTCAAACCTGGAGAAATTTTCTAAGCTGAGGGGGAGAAAGTTTATTGTCATGTTTTTAAACATTTTTCTCCCCTTTTAACCTTCTTTCCACAGAGAACCAGTACCCGTTTCATGACCCTGCATCAGGAGCCACCCCAGACTTCAATCAAAGACTCGCTGAACTGACCTCGCTAGAAAGTGACACGATACGATATGAAAGAACAAAGAAAGCCAAGAAAAAAACAAAGCAAGACTCGGGTTGAGAATACATCACGTTGGCTTGAATAAACTTGAGAGGAATGAGGAAGCTGAATAAAAGCTTGGCAAGACTCGGGCTGAACCTAACGGAGGATGAAGTTTGCTTGAGAAGACTATGGAGGACGAACATTTGGGTTTATTTTTCCTCAGGATAGCCGGAAACAGTGTGTGTAATTGACCTTTGACCTCGACTGAAGCATGGAGAGTGATCGTCCGGGGAAGAATTAGTGTTCTTCAGGATAGATCGAAACTGGGGAAAGCAAGTTTTTAAGAGGGACAAGGAAAGAGATGTATCAAAGCCTTCTGATTGGAATGCACTTCTTGTTCAAATCAAACGAGAAGTGAATTTTGCAGACTGAGAAGTTGACCATCGTTTAATACTGTTAAATTGGATCGTTCAAAATTGTTCAATGTTCCCAGTTTACGACAAGTCTTTGTTCCTTGTTCCTTGTTCATTACAAATGCCAGGGTTAGCCATGAGCAGTCCAGTGTTGGATTCTGCTTTTAAACTTTTTGGGGGGTTGGTTTTATTTACGATCATAAAATACAAAATACAGAAATGTTCAACTCTTTGAATACTAGCCTATGATAACTGGGGATGCAGCTTTTGAAGATAAGTGTCATACCAAAATAAAATTGTATCTAAAAAAAAATCACTGCTATGTACAGCACGTCTCTACTGTTTAATAAAGAAATTTAAACGTTATCAGTGTCCTTATATTCAAATTATGCAAGGAAACCTGTTTTCTTGCTAGACTTCACAGTCAGACACTATTGAGTGACTGACTGGCTTTTTTTCTTCTTTGGTAATAACATACATGAAATGAGCTGTAAAGGGTACATGAGCATTTGTCTACATCAATAACCAACTTCTTGTAATGGCAAAAATTAAACTGATTGAATCTTTGTGCAGCATAAAACGTACTACCATTTGGTACAATGGTCTGAAATTCAGACTACTACTTACCGGCTCTATAGCTCTTAAGTCGATTCAACAACTAATAGTTGTTATTTTCCCACTTACAGACATTTTCAAGCCCCCCTTTTTTTAGGGAAGTTCTCAATTAGTATTACTGTAGATCTATCTTTTAAATGCCGTTGGAATTTAACCTTTTCCCTTTTTTGGCCTGCAAATGGGACATAGTACCTTTAACAATTTTACCAAATCACTTTAAGAAGATTTTTTTTCAGCAAATGTTTCTGCATTTATTGATAAAGTAATATAATTGATTTACATAAAGAGTGACAACTGAAATACACACACATAAAATGGGGGTAAGAGTACATATTTTTTTATAATTCTTTTCCTACCCTCCCCCCCCCCCCCCCAAGGATTTGCATTTGATTGGCTCTGAGCAGACTTGTCATGGCAGTTGTTAATTGATAACAATTTTAATGAAACGGGGCCCTGAACCTATGAAACTTGTACTTTGCCTTGGGAACGTTCTTTGGAAATGAAGTTTGTCTTTCCTACATTCAGCTTTGTGGTGTAACGAGGAAGTAATGTGTTCAGGTTATTGAACATTTTCTTGGAAGTTTGTAATGTTGATGAAGAAATATGTTTGAAATATTCAAAGAATTCCTGAGTTATTTTACATATTGCATTTGTGCAAATAAATAAAAAATATATTGATCGTTGTCAAGAAAATGTTGAATATTTGTGTTTCTATCAGTTCTTGTGTTGTGTTTTCGCAAAAGAAAAGAAAGGAAAAAATTAAAGAGTTACCTTGTAATCTATAAAACCTTTTGTGCCCACTGTACAATCTGGATCCAATTAGGATCCAAATTTGGGGAAATGGAGGAAAAATGAAATACTGTTGGACAATCAAATCGAATAGTGTAATTTGTTACTGATTAATATTCCTAATGTTATTATGATTAGCAAAATCGTCGTGGCGAAATAGCGCAGCGAATTGCTTCATCTCCGGTTTGCAGCAGTAGGGGGAGATCTCGGCTGTGGAGATTATTCCAAATTCAAGAGGTAAAGTTTCCCTTTCCTCACTCGCAAAATTTATTAATTGAATAGTTCCAGGCAGCGAAGTATGTGAATGTCCCCATGAAGTGATATGACGATAATCGGGCAGCATGGCGCCGGAATATGTTATTCGTTGTACTTTTATATCGAAATTAAATTTATACCACAACAAAGTTTACTTCCAGTATAATTGATAAATAAAGATAACTAGGTGCAGATAGGAGCGTCGCTAGAGGAGGGGGGGGGGGGTGCTACACCCCTGCCCCACCTATCAGGATATTGTCGGTAAAATTGCGATGCCGTCGGGAAAAATGAGAGGGAAAGAAAGGAAAAGAACAAAATGAAAGAAGGGGGGGGAAGAGAAAATGACACAAAAGAAACGGGGGAAGAAAGAGAGGAGAGAGGTGGGGGTTGTTGGTCTCGTCGAGGGAGCAAGAAAGATACGCATAGATATGTTGCTGTGTCAGTATTCTCGCTCGATCTTCGTGTACTACCGTGTGAGTAAAAACAAGTGTACACTTAGAAAATTGCTAAATTGAAGAAGAAAAAAAACAATCATCTATGAACAGTAAATTAAATCTCGCAAACAATGCCTCCTGTTCATCCAAGCGTGAACACATACCACACAAAAATGATACCAAACGATTCGGGATATAACACTCTTTCAAAACATATATGATAACCTTTCGTTCATAGCTGACTCTTAAAATAAATGGCAATTTTCTGAGTGTAAACTTTTGTTGACTCACACGGTATACCTTTATAGTTAACGTTGTAAACAAGCAGTAACGAAAGAAGACAATAGGAAATAAGAAACGTCTTGATAATAATAACAATAATAATAATAATAATAAAAATAATAGTGGCTACTAATGTATAGCGCACAGGTCCACCCTATAACTTTGACTACTCGAATCTCGCCATCAGGGGGCCCTTTCTCCACACCGCTATACACGTAAGTCGAACTTCTTTACTAAAGCAGGGCCATAGTAAGCTACTTGTTTGATATGCGTTTCACAAAGCTCTCTTTGCCAAGATCCGCCCATATACGCCTCCGACCCTGTCATATCTCTGTCACAATATTTCTAGTCGATGTGTAGCGCCATCACATGTCATTTATTGGGTAGACCATTGCTGGCAGAAATGAACCATACACACTTTTAGAAATCCTCGGGCTATCTTTTTACATATTTACTTTAACAGGGGGTCTATCCTTCATTTATTTTATAAACAATCTTTAAGAATACGTAATGTTTGTATATAAGGCTTTCCTCACAGACTGAACTAAACTGATTCGAAATGCTTATTTTCACATCATCATGACAATAAAATGCATTTGAAGTTTAAGTCATTGTGTTATAAAGGGAACTTGAAAATAAAGATCATAGTGATAAACGAAACCAAGGACCAACAAAAAAATAAACCTTGTAAAAGAAAAGAAAAGTGGGAAAATATTAGATAGGCTCATAATTATGATAACTGATGCGATGAAAGACATTATAATGTAGAGGTACAGTGTTTAGGCCTTACAAGATTTGAAGAGATGAAGACATTGACCAACATTTGTAATATAGGTTTTCCCGGCCAATTTCGTCAAAGCAGCGATCAATTTCACTAACGTGCATTCATGTTCGAGCAAATTTTCTCCACTCGTTGCTTCCCTGTTTCATTTTTAAACTTTTTGCATTCAATTTCGTTTCGAGTCACCGAATTTTCGAAACAAGCACATTCAAATTAACGTTTGTTTCAGTCAATTTGGAAATGCGTTAGCGTCATTCGATTTCGCCAAAGTTGAGTGGGAGGACAATTCTTTGTCGAATTGCGGTTTCATTTTCGTCTATGGGCAACCTCTTTCGCAATCGGGTCATTCAAATTAAAACTAGACCTCATAATCATTGTATGAGGCTCGATGTTTATTCGGATATTCCCTTTTTCATGTTCATTTGTTTATTATTTTACTCTATGATCTTTTCTGACATGATTTCACATTATACAATCTTCTTATTTGTCTGATATATTTATATTGCATTCAATATTTTCTCTTTCTGTCGATCTTTATTTTTGATGAAACATTTCTTTATACAGTCATGTCTTCATATATTTCATTATAAATGAAGTTATTTTTTTTTTTTTTTTTTTTTTTTATCAATCTGGATTGAGTGGGTAATCTTTCTTTCTTTTCATTTCACATATTTTTCTTTATTCATCATTGTATTATGTTTCCATCATGGCCATGTCTAAAGCTCAACTCTACCGCTGTCCAGGATCTGTGTATAACTATAAAGCTTGTTCTTACAAGAAGAAGAGAAGTCACAAATTGTGCGCCTTCTCTGGGACAGTTACCTGTGTCATGACAGATATCTGCTAACGAATACGCATAATCATTCCTACAAGTAAACTTAGCATTAAATTATTCAAACAGAAGTATATTAAGTGACAATTAACATCAAATGAAAAGCAATGCACAAATGTCACATATGGATGCCTAATCACGAAATTGAATGCTCGAATACATACCACCGTCTGTCCGGCGCGAATTTGAATGCTCTTTGCACGCTTTTCTAAATTGAATGCTCGTTTTGCACTTCTCCGTGACAAGAGTATGAAATCGCATGCTACTAAATCAAATTGAACGACGCAATTAGCTTTTTGAATGTTGATCTACATAGTCATTCAATTTCGCACGAACTTGAATGAACGTAACGTTAAATCGGATGCTAAGTTTACGAAGTTGGGCGGGAAAACCTATATTAATCCCACTGGAAAGATTGAACAGAAAACCCACACAAATCATTACACTGTAAACAATACAGCATTATAGAGCAACTCACTCATGTAGGCAGACAAGCCTATTAAACAAAAATAAAGATGTAGAGGTACGTACAGTGCAGTGGCGTACGCATGATTTTTTTTCTCAAGGGGGGGGGGGGTTAAAAGTACACTTTTGGGGGGGGGGGGGGCGGCATAATTTGGGCATAATTTAAAAAAAATTAAATTAAAGAAAAAAAAATCATACACAAAACTTACACATAAAAAAAAAAAAAATCAAGGGGGGGGGGGGTGAGGTTTAACATCAAACACCCCCCCCCCCCCCCATGCGTACGCGCCTGGTACAGTGTATATGCATTTGCAAGCTTTTGAAATGATGAAAACATTTATCGACGTATGTGATATTAATCCCACTGGAAAGATTGAACAGAAAACCCACACAAATCATTACACTGTAAACAAGACAGCATTATAGAGCAACGCAATGATACACGCCCATTAAATCATATAAAGTTTTCACAATAATTGATTCGTAATCATACACTTAGATCTAGATTTTAGATCGACTTACTTCTGACGGAAAATCATTCCATTATCATTTAATATCGTATCGTTCAAAGTGAAAATTACGTTTTAACCATAAGTGGACTCGAAAACTCAATGTTTGTTGGAAAGTACATTTTCAAAAGATATGTAATAATGTGTTGCTTCAGCGATATCTTTGGAAACAGCAAAGTCCGCAATCTGTATGGGTAATCTCTTCGTGAAAAGGTTTCGGAAGATCGGAGACATCTTCGTAGTTGGCGCATTGTATTGACGTTGGGTTGGAGAAACGGGCGTGTGATTAAATTGTGTTTGCACGCCTTGTTTCGTGAGTCAGCAATTTCTAATATTAATATTCTCTGGCTGCATTGTCAGATTTTTTTCGAAAGGAGTGCCGGTTATAACAACCATTTTGTGTCAATAGCATCAAACCTTGCAACTCTTGACAGAGAGACATTACCTGCTTCTTTTACCATGTCCATGTTCATGTCCTCAGGCTTAAGTTTATTAGGTGTATTAAAATTAATCAAAATAGATGAATTAATATACATTTTTTAATTTGTATTATACTCTTTTCAAAGATGTTGAAGTTTCCTGATTTTTACTCTCCACAAGATAATTACAAACCACTGAGTGTGACTCTGTGTGTGTTTTGATATGTGTGGCATGATTAGTTTTCTTAGGGATGTTATTTGGATCTGCAAAGACCGAATTGATACCCAAATCCCAATTATTCTAATAAAAAATAACATGGGCATCACTTTGGCGTAAGTCGTTTTTTGCACTCTCTTGAACAATGTATCCTGTTCATCCAAGCGTGACCACATACCACCCAAAAACTCTTCTGAATCAATATTTCCAATTTATAAAGAAGAGATGTAAATAATATGCTTGAATGTAGATTATATAAATTATTAAACATTCATAATCATACTATATATAGAATGGACTAAAAATATACGACTTTTTTTTAAATGTTCAAACATTCATGCAAACTGAGGGATCTAGGATCCGCACAACAATTGAAATAAACTACATACATATGGTAATTAGATTTATCAATGGTGTAATTTATTACTCAAGATTGTCTGACATTCAAGCAAGCAAGCAAGTAATACAAAACACACATAACAAAACGAAACAAAAAGATTAGGCCTACAACAATATACAATCAAGACTTTGTTATTCATATTACATATGGGAACCTATATCGGGACGATTTTATATTTTTTTAATTTCTTTAATTAATTTTGAAAGCCTCAGTTGAAAATTAGTTTGTTCAATTCTTTCTACTATAAGGTATCTTCTCCCAGCTCTGAAACTTATTGAATAAATAATTATCTTGTTTGTCTTTTCCCCGATTAAAATCCCGGATTTGTTCAAGCCATTGACCCCCCCCCCCCCCCCCAACCAAAAGTTGTTCAATAGATTGACCTTTGAACAGCCAGGGAAGTGGGACTGGAAAAAAAGATTCCGAAGACCCAGATCCCCTCCCATCCCACACACACACACGCGCGCACACACGCAACCACACACATACTCTTTCCGAGTCCCTTTAGTAGTAGGCCTCACCAGTGTTCGACTTATGTGCTTTTTCTGGTAAAAAAAGGAAAACAGAAAGGATGAGGACTATATGACTAAGCAAAATAATTTATCTTATCAAAACACGAACTGACCTAATAAAGCACGTTCTTAAGTTCAATGCACACTATGTTCAAAGGCATTATTTACACAATGTGATCTCAAAGTCTGTAAAATACATTACTGAATCAACCAACGGCTGAATGGTCCTGATATAGAATTGAGTCATATTCATATATTCTAGTCGGTATGGTGGAAAATCAAAGGGCAAGATTAGAAAGATACGCAACTTCGCTCATTGGAAGTAAACGGTATGTGTAGCAAGCGCCCTACAAACCCTGGGTCGAGCTTAGGCTTGAAAAGGAGGCATTTTACATTGGCATGTTAATCCTACCGTGACTTGTGCAAAGGATGAGCAAAGTTACTATGGATTCAAGGCGTATTGAAATATGATATCTAGGCTATACCTAAGAAAATATTCAAACTGTTCCTTACCAGAGGGAGGAAGAGAGAGAGAGAGAGAGAGAGAGAGAGAGAGAGAGAGGAAAGAGAGAGAGAGAGAGAGAGAGAGAGAGAGAGAGAGAGAGAGAGAGAAAGTTCATGTTTCATTTTTCATTTTGCTATAATAATTCTTTCTTTCTTTTTGTCTCTATCCATCTCTGTATCTCTCTCTCCTATTTTGCTCTCTTTCTCCCCTTTTCTCTCTGTCAATTTCAAATGTATTTGTGTTGGTAACAGCCAACGAGACCGAAGGCCGAGGCGGATGACAGCTCTTGATTAATATCGGCCTCGTAAGAATTCTGAGGGTTTTTTTAACGGCCAACGTCTTTATCGCGCCTTCTGAACAGAAAAAACATCAACTGGAAAATGGCCGTTATATCTGAAAGCTTTTACAATGAACTAAATTGAAAACATATTTCACTTGAGTCCTTCTTTCCTCTCCACCGCTTTCTCTTTCATCCCTCTCATTCCTTTGTCTTCTCTCTCTCTCTCTCTCTCTCCCACCACTTTTATTTCTTGCCCAATTGAATAGCAACAATAAGCATTTCCAAAACACAACACCAAAAGAAAGTAAATATTATTATATCAGCAAACCAAGTTTTGATTGTTACAATCACATTTTTTTAATTCCTGAATATCAACTTCTAATTGGCCACTAGCCTGGTTGCTGGGGAAAGAGTAGTTACGTAAGTGGCAATACGTCATCATACAGCTTGGCCTTATCTAAAAACATACATTATAATTGTCCTTTGATGACTGTGAAAAAGCAAAGAATCTATACAATGCAATTTAAACAAATCTTTTATTACTATGTATATTTTCAAAGAATATTTTTTTTCAGTATTTATAAGGGTACGACATTTAAAACGTCTACCAATATTTAAACAAAAATATTAGATCAACGTCAAATTGGCAACATATAACAGCCTAGGATACATATATAGTTACGTCTGAATGCTATTGATATGATACCTATCCCATGCTGCATATTTTGTAAAAGCATAACTATACACAAGTCATACATTTTTGCATAATATCTATATGTGTCATTGAGAACGCGGATCGTATCGCCTGGCTTTCATGTTTAGCATCCGGGGAAAATAATGAAAGCGTACCTCGCTCTGCCCAAACTTTAACACAGAAAGTACAAACGAGAGAGCAAAGCGACCGACCGATAGATTTCACTTCCTTTTTTGTAACACGTTTACCCCTTAAAATTCAATTTCGTATGCAATATTATTCAAAGGAATATTCGAAAGTTTAACTGTGATCGCGCGGTACTTTTGAAATTCAATTTTGACCAATGATAAGCAGTTTCCTATTCACTTCTTCCTCGGTGTGGTGCCAAGCAAACGAACACTCTGGAGTGATGTGATCTAGGAATTAAGTAAAGTAAGCAAACATTCAGATTTTTTTTCAATGTTGAACCTTTAAATGCAATGTTATCCGCTCCAGATGTTTGACAAGAGGCTTAATGACAAGAAAAGCAAGGAAAATTACGTTTTGTAAACGTAAACAAAAAAATAAAACAAATTTTAAAGTGCTATGTATTTATCTTATGTCGGGGCACAAAATGATCCAAAAGCAATATGAAAATATCATATGCAAGGGAGCAAAACGACCGAGCTTTCGAAAAATGCTGCATGTTAAATCCTCAATATTCTATTATGATGCACATCAATTCAATCAAATTTCAATTTATTGTCCAATATTGTAAATTTGTTTTGCTCACATTTTTACAAACGTACAAAGAATCAAGATAAGTTTACATACATAATATTTATCACATACTTTGACATAGAAATCCTTTAGAATATTGCTTTACAGAACTTTTCCTAGGTTATTATAAACAAAATAAGTGAATTGTTTTAAGTGTTTGAGTGGACGGGATGGCCCGGAAAGATTACAAAAATAACATTACAGAAATAAAGAAGAACGTACAATTCAGGTGGCATTTTGATTGTATTTGCGGATAGAGAAAGGAACGAAGGAATTTAATCTTCCTATTAGGTCGTACAATTTTTAAGGATTATAATTTTCCTCCCTTTTCTCATTTCATGGCCGGGCCCCCTTTCTCACGTGCCCCCTCTGCCCGTGTCGAAACGCTACCGCTCTTATGATCTGTTTTGTATTTCTGATTGAGTTGTATATCAAACTGTTTGAAATATATGAGATCACCAAGTCTATGCGAATCTTAAATTGGCAGTTTGATCAGTGGATTGTAATTTAGTCTCGGATATTTCTCACGGTTGTTATGTATGTACAAAAATATCATCAACCTCTGCTTTTCTCTGAAGTCTCTTCTTCCCTGGTGCATTACAAAAAATATATGTTAGATAGCAGAATTTTATAAGTCCTCTAAAGAAAATAGATTCTCTTGAGTCATACATTTTTTTGTCGCGCTCGTGTGCATAGTCCCATATACATCTTTCTGTGTACGGTGCTTGTAACTTTACCAAGACTGGGCCAAATTTCTTATCATTTTAATGATTCCAGAACCTTGCAGTACACACCAATACTTATATGCCACTATTATAACAACAACAACAAAAATCTGTTTATACGCTAAGGTTGTTATGAATTTCCATTGCTAATTAAGAAGTTCTTTAGTTCGTTAGACAATAATTTTTAGTCCATTAAATTATTTTCATCATGGAATAGATAGTCTGCTTTCAAACATTTCACGATAAAAAGGCATCGAGTAGTCTACGCAACGGATTACGTCATCAGAAAGTTGATCACGTGGTATAGGCCCAAGGTCCTTCGGCGGGATAATTTGAGTGCTCTTGAAAGCTCTCTCGTAGAACTCCGACAACTCGGTGAAGATGTTTTCGGCCGCCGTTACAAAATTCTTCGGCATTTCGGTAAATGGTTTCATCTGGAGAAGGTCGTCGCTGTATGGAAGGCCGACAGCGTCGCAGAGTGCCTTGATGGTCGGTCCTGGTCTTGACAAGATATCCGAAGTGTCGATGACAATCGGATTCGGATCGATATTCGCTTTGACGTGCTTCCACAGCGCATGCTCATTCTCGAACCATTTCATTGGTTCATTATCAAGTGGGTCATCTCGGATAATATCGTAATCGGCTTCGGATGGGACCATACCTGATTCGGCAAACTTCGCTGACATCGACTTCTTTGCCGAAACGTATACTCGAGATGGATCCCGAATGAGGAAAGCGCATTTGTAGCCTTCTGGGTAAAATTTGGTGACGATCGGAAGTATTCCCATTTCTTTGATGAGGACGAACTTGCTGTTGGCACTTTCCAAATCTTCCTTGATAGTCTGGTATCTGGAATGATTAAATGAACCAAAAAGAGAAATAAATAAGAATTATAATAATGGTGGATTCTTATATGACGCACATGTTTGTCACGCAGTGACGCTCCGGGTGTAGAGTGGCAAAAGTGGATTAATGTCTTACCAAAGGACGTTAGAGTCGGGCTAGGATTTGAAACCGCAACCCTTGTATTGAGATTTAGAGAATAAACCACTAGAGCTAAGTTATCTCTCTTTAGTATGTTGACTAAATCTAGTCATCTGATTGATCGAAATTGGAGTCGTGATTTTAGCCATGGCCGCCTACCGGTCAATATTTTTTTCAAAAGATGCCCGTTGCCGCGGGTAACGGGCTACATAAATCAATTTTGCTAAGATCCCCATCGGTTTATGTGTAAAAAGTGTCTTTGTGCGAGCGCGGATACCATATACATTATCTGTGCGATTCCTGAATGATCGTTACATTCAGTAATTTTCTACAGACAGTGTCTCAGATTTTCTGTGATGTTTTAACCAGTCTTTACTAAAAAAAAAGGATTAGGGAAGAATTCTTTGTAGATTTTTGTGTGAATTCGGTATATAAAAGATATATGGACTGCTTTAATGTTGAACTGTACTGTTTCTATACTGGCTCTCGGGGACGTTAAATCCTGCTATGACCCCGAGGCGCCCCGGCTTTGAGCTAGTATAGAAACAACGATGCCTCTCATAGCAGTCAATATATCTATAATATTAGATAGCTTAGACAGATACCGAGATGTGATTGGTCCAGAGCTCGTCACGTGACATCAATTGCGAGGATCCAAATTGTTATATTTTCCTGGTTGGTTATATTTTACCGGCCGGTGAAATGAATATATTTTTAATCAATGCATGTCGCCCTCTTGAGGACTGTATGTCACCAATGACACACATTATACCATTACCGAGGGTCTTTTTTTTCTTCATGAATTTGTTTTCCCTTGAAATTATTTTTCCACATTTTTTTTTCCCAATTTTTTTTTTCGAATTTTTTTTTTCCCAAAAAATGTTTTTTTGGGCAAGAATTTTTTATTTTTTTGCTCTTCTTTTCATTTTTTGGTCCACGAAAAAAAAAAAAAAAAAAAAAATCGGGGGGGGGGGGGGGCAAAACAAAAATATTGAACCCCCCCTCCCTGAAAAAAAATCAAATCAAATCAAGGCTATCTAATATAACAGTTATTGACTGGCAGGGGATAGCAGTCCAAATAATGTTATATTATACCCCCTGCCCGTCAATAACTGCATAATATCACGATCACGATATAATTCAGAAACATTCTAAATGTCGCTCTGAAAATTATCAATATTATCGGATATACTTCAATAAATATCGTAATGGATATCAAAATTTCTCTTCAAATTTCTCAATGCTCACGACATAATGCAGGAAAATTCTAAATTCTATACTTCAATAAATATCGTTATGGATATCAAAATTTCTCTTCAAATTTCTCAATGCTCACAATATAATGCAGGAAAATTCAATGAAATTCCCTAAGTGACTGCTGGGCAATATTAGCGAACAATATTGACTGGGAAAAAAACTTTGAATTGTGCGTTTAATCCAAGGAATGATGCACTTGTTGAACGAACAAGCAGAATCGGGACTTCACTATAATTCATGGTACTTTTGCAAATTTATGTAAATCTTTTTATATTCTCATATTCGGGATCGACTGTTTCATATGATAGGCCTATATATTTCATACCGATTATTTCTATAATAAATTCAAAATATTCGAAACAGATATAATGTTTTAAAAACTGGTAACTAGTGAATAGGGATCACAGGGGAAAAAAAATCGTGTTCACATTCCAGGGCTCCGATTATTAGCAATGCTTGAAGGCTACATACTTAAAAATTGCTCATGAAAACATATCAAACGAGGAGTGTTTGTTGTCAATTTGCTGCAGAAATTAAAGGCATAAATTCCGCTAAATTATAAAGAAGCTACTCACGACATCTTTCTTGGAATCATTTTGGTGCCAACTTTTTTCTCCCATATGTCAATCGCCTCCTCGTACACCGCTTCGTTCCCGACTAGACCATCCGGCAGCTCCCGCCCTGTCGTGGTTTTGTAAAACCCCTTGCATGACGAGGCGTACGTGTAGACTTCCAAATGAACTTCGATCCCGTCAATGGCACTCAGACATTTTGCCAGTAATGTGGAGGTTGATCGAGGTAGGCACCACAGTGCCACTCGACCGGGCTTGGTGGTGGTCGCTGTCGCTCCGTGGTCGGCCATCGCGAAATCCAGAGACGAGATATATGGTTCCGTATATAACCGGCACTCCTTTCGAACAGATCTGACAATGCAGCCAGACAATATCAATAATAGCAATTGCTGACTCACGAAACAAGGCGTGCAAACACATGAATGTTATAACCAGGGGCCCGTTTCTCCAACCCAACATCAATACAGAGCGCCAACTACGGAGATGTCTCTGATCTTTTGAAACCGTTTCAAAAAGAGCTTACTTGCTAGACTTGCTAGATCTCGTGAAATCGATGCGTTCGGCGAGAAGAGAAGCCAAGAGGCAGCCGTAAAGTCGCACTACCAACTCGTATTTTTTAAAGAGTATTTTTTTTTAAAAATTTCCATATTTTTCCCTCCACAGGGATTTTATTGATTTTCATTTGAAACACATACAAATATATATATTCAAGGTAATTTACATAATAGCATAAATAAAATAAAATTGACTTTTCAAGATACAAGTATTGTTGAGCTGTTGAGTTAACAGAAAACTAACAAATCAATAATTCATTTCTAACACTCATGGAAAGAAAAAAAAATACAGACAAAATATCATTTTAAGTAAACAAATTCCTGAATTGAAACCATTTTCTTGTGAATTTATTATTTCTACAATTCGATTTTGCAATATACTTTCGTTTTTTAAGTAATTTATAATCGAAACTCTAATAATATCAAAGTCGGGCAATTGTTTCTTTATTTTGCAAGTATACACCATCTGTCGCACCACAATCAGTATACAATTCAATGCATAATTATTTGAACCTTTTAAACCAAATAATTTATCTTATAATGAAAATGTTAATTTATTTCCGGTTCCAGTATTAATCCAGTGTTCTAACCTACCCCAAACATTTTTAACATGCGTACAATCACATAGGAAATGTATAACTGTTTCAATCTGTTCATTACAAAATGTACATTCTTTTCTTGGGACTAAATTCATTTTAAACAGTAGATCGTTCGTATATAATATGCGTTGCAAGACTTTAAACTGAAACCATCGTAAGCCCACATCAATGGTACAATTAAATCCAATAGAACAATATGTTTAGTAATTTTGTTATAATTGCAATTATATCAATGAATTAGGAAATACAAAGATTAGAATTAGTTGAAGGGGACAAGAGATGTAAAATACTTTCATAAATCATGTAGATAATAATATAAAACTGCTTGTGAAATGTAATTGTGAATAATATATTTTATGACCTGAATCACTTGTAGACGTTAGATGGGTACCCCCGAAATAGAAATTGTTTAATTAACCTTTGAACCGCCAGGGAAGGGGGACAAAAGAATATCCGAAGACCGAGAACCCCTCCCCCATCACACGCACACACGCACACACACACCCACACACGCACACACACACACACACACACGCACACACACACACGCGCAGATACTATTCCTGAGTCCATTATGACAAAGAAAAATAGTTTGTCTTGTCAATACATGAACTGACCTAATAAAGCACGTTCTAAAGTTCAAGGGCATTATTTACACGATATAATCTCAAAGTCTATACAATACCGCACGCATTGTGACGACGACTGAATGGTCTTAATATAGATTTTGAGTCATATATATTCTCGTCGGCTTGGTAGCAAATCTAAGGACAAGATTAGAAAGATACGCAACTTCGCTCATTTGTAGTGAACGGTATGTGTAGCAAGTGCCCTACAATCCGTGGGTCGAACTTAGGCTTAAAACGTACGAAATCATACGTTAATCCTAGCATGACTTGTGCAAAAAACGAACACAGTTCCTTTGATTTCAAGGCGTATAGAAATTTGATATGTAAGATAATAATCATACTGTTCCTTAAGAGAGAGATAGAGAGAGAGAGAGAGAGAGAGAGAAATAGAGAGAGAGAAAGAAAGAGAAAGAAAGAGAGACTGAGAGTGTGTGTGTGTGTGTGAGAGAGAGAGAGAGAGAGAGAGAGAGAAAAGGAGTCATGTTTCACTTTTAATTTTGTTTATAATAATTCTTTCTATCTTTTTCTCTATCTCTCTCTCCGTCTTTTCTTTCTCTCTTTGTGTCTTTCTTTTTCCTCTTTCTCGATCTCTGTCAATTTGTTTTGTTGTTGGTTAAAGCCAGCGAGACTGAAGGCCGAGGAGGCCGAAAAAACATGATTAATATCGGTCTCGTAAGAATTATGAGGGTTTTTTCAACGGCCAACTTCATTTCGCGCCTTCTGAACAGCAAAAACAACAACTGGAACATGGCCGTTAGACCTGAACGCTTCAACAATGAACTAATTTTTTTCTCCACAGTCCTTCTTTCCTCTCCACCGCTTTCTCTCTCCATCCCTATCATCTCATCTCTGTCTCTCTGTCTGTGTCTCTCTCTAGCTCACAACACCTCCCTGCTAGTAGACTGCATGAATACGTAGAATATTGGTTTAAAGATAGAATCTTGTTATTTAATGTTTCGTTTCAGTGTTATCTCTTGCAGTGGATCACTAATGCCTTGGTGTTTATTAAGATTGTGCATACATGCCAACATTTGAAAATCAGAAATCTGTACAAATTATGCTATTTAAAAAAAAAAGAGGAACAATCCTAACTCTCCTATTCAATACTACAGACAAATTTGTACAGGAAGAGGAACACCTGCATTAAAATGATAATTATCTTCTCCCAAAAAGAGGAATGTTCCTCTTTAATCTGAACAGTTGGCATGTATGGATTATGGCACCCGGTGAAAATAATGAAATCGCACCTCGCACTGCCCAAACTTTATCACAAAAAGTACAAGCGAGGGAGCAAAACGACCGACCAGCACGTGCCCCCTCCCCCTTATCCTGGTCAATATGCTAATGCTCTTATGATCTGTTTTATTTTATAAATCAGATTGCTTGTATGAGGATTATCAGAGAGTGGAAGAAGGGGGAAATGAGAGAACGGCTAAGTTGCTTGGCCTGCTCCCCCTGCCCCTATTTTAACGAACACAAATCTTATTATACGCTAAGGTTGTTATGAATTTCCATTGCTAATTAAGAAGTTCTTTAGTTCGTTAGACAATAATTTTTAGTCCATTAAATTATTTTCATCATGGAATAGATAGTCTGCTTTCAAACATTTCACGATAAAAAGGCATCGAGTAGTCTACGCAACGGATGACGTCATCTGAGAGTTGATCACGGGGTATAGGCCCAAGGTCCTTCGGCGGGATAATTTGAGTGCTCTTGAAAGCTCTATCGTAGAACTCCGACATTTCGGTGAAGATGTTTTCGGCCGCCGTTACAAAATTCTTCGGCATTTCGGTAAATGGTTTCATCTGGAGAAGGTCGTCGCTGTATGGAAGGCCGACAGCGTCGCAGAGTGCCTTGATGGTCGGTCCTGGTCTTGACAAGATATCCGAAGTGTCGATGACAATCGGATTCGGATCGATATTTGCTTTGACGTGCTTCCACAGCGCATGCTCATTCTCGAACCATTTCATTGGTTCACTATCAAGTGGGTCATCTCGGATAATATCGTAATCGGCTTCGGACGGAATCATACCTGTTTCGGCATACTTCGCTCCCATCGACTTACGTGCCGAAACGTATACTCGGGATGGATCCCGAATGAGGAAAGCGCATTTGTAGCCTTCTGGGTAGAATTTGGGGTCGATCGGAAGTACTCCCATTTCTTTGATGAGGACGAACTTGCTATTGGCACTTTCCAAATCTTCCTTGATAGTCTGGTATCTGGAATGATTAAATGAACCAAAAAGAGAAATAAATAAGAATAAGAATTATAATAATGGTGGATTCTTATATGACGCACATGTTTGTCACGCAGTGACGCTCCGGGTGTAGAGTGGCAAAAGTGGATTAATGTCTTACCAAAGGACGTTAGAGTCGGGCTAGGATTTGAAACCGCAACCCTTGTATTGAGATTCAGAGAATAAACCACTAGAGCTATTAAAGTTATCTCTCTTTAGTATGTTGACTAAATCTAGTGATCTGATAGGTCGTGATTTTAGCCATGCTTGCCTATCGGTCAATAGTGTTTAAAAAGATGCCCGTTGCCCCAGGTAACGGGCTACATAAATAAATTTGCTGACATCCCCATTGGTTACATGTAACAAGTTTCTTTGTGCGAGCGCGGATACCATACAGTGTGAGTTCAATTCCTAAATGATCGTTACATTCAGGAACTTTCCAGCGAAGATTTACAGACAGTGTCTGAAATTTTCTGTGATGTTTTTATTTAATTAGTCTTTTCTCAAGAAAGGTTGAGGTAAGAATTCTTTGTAGATTTCGGTATATAATATATAAATGGACTGCTTTAATATTTGAAGCATAGCTGTTTCTATACTGGCTCTCGGAGATGTTACTTCCTGCTATGACCCCGAGGCGCCCTGGCCTTGAGCCAGTATAGAAACAGCGATGCCTCTCATAGCAGGCAATATATATAAAATAATTTATCACGATCACGATATAATTCAGGAAAATTCTAAATGACGCTCTAAAAATTATCAATATTATCGGATATACTTAAATAAATATCCTTATGGATTACTTAAATTTCTCTTCAAATTTCTCTACGATCACGACATAATTCAGAACAAAAATTAAATGACGCTCTGAAAATGTCAATATTTTCGAATATACCTAAATAAATATCGTTATGCCGGGATATCAATTTCTCTTTAAAGACTGCGGGCCCCGCCCCCTCCCCTCCCCCCCTCCCCCACTCAGTGTTATTTAGGGTACGCATTGCTTGTTCCCTCTTTTTGAAAGCACCCCCTATCTGAGGACTGCCAACATTTCCGAACCCCCCTTTCGCGGGCTTTTTGCGGGCTTTTCCTACCTTGGAGACCCCCCTAAATAATGAAAAATGCTCAATGTGCCCCCCCCCTAAATTCGGAATAATTTCACAGGAGTCCAAAGAGATGAGAGAAAAAAAAAACACCCCCTTTTTAAAGAAATCTCCAGGTGAAAAGTTAATACACCCCCTTTTTTACAATTCTCGGGCCGGACTTTGTCCCACGAAAAGTACCCCTTTATCGGACATTTTGGTAACACGCATGGGGTCCGTCCGTTCTCGGAGTGGGGGGGGGGGGGGGGGGGGGGGGGGGGGGGGGGGGGGGGGGGGCTACTGGCATGCAATTCGCTAAGTGACTGCTGGGCAGTATTAGCGAGAAATATGACTGGGAATACTTTTAATTGTGCGTACAATGCAAGGACGCAATTGTTGAACGAACAGGATCAAGACTTCACTAATTCATGCATTGCACGTTTGCAAATTGATGTCAATCTTTTTATATTCTCACATGGTTATATATTCGTGATCGACTGTTCCATAATTATGATAGGCCAATATATTGCATACCGATTATTTCTATAATAAATTCAAAACATTCGAAAGATGTATAATAAAAATAATTACATTCAAAAACCGTTAACTAGTTACTAGGGATCAAAGAAAAAAAAATATGTTTAGAGGTCAGGGTTCCGATTATTAGCAAAGTTGAAGGCTGCATACTAAAAACTGCATCATGAAAATATATCAAACGAGGAGTGTTTGTAATCAATTTGCAGCACAAATTAAAGGCATAAATCCCGGTAAATTACAAAGAAGTAGAGACACTCACGACATCTTTCTTGGAAGCAATTTGGTGCCTACGTTTTTCTCCCATATGTCATTCGCCTCCTTGTACACCGCCTCGTTCCCCAAGAGACCATCCGGCAGCTCCCGACCTGTTGAGGTCTTGTAAAATCCCTTGCATGACGATGCGTACGAGTAGACATCGACATGGACTTCGATTCCGTCAATGGCACCCAGACATTTTGCCAGTAACGTGGAAGTTGATCGAGGTATGCACCACAGTCCCACTCGACCGGGCTTGATGGTCGTCGCCTTCGCTCCTTGGTCGGCCATTACAAAGAACCTGATAGTATTCCTCCGTACACAACCTGCACTGCTGATGGAGAGCTGCACATATTCGTATATATGTACATGTAATTTTGTGTAGCTTCGTGCGATAGTGCGGCGTTGGTCTAAAGACACTATAACAGAAAGATAGTCAACTCGCTACTGATTGGTAGCATGGTGAATGAACGGCTCCGATGATATTATTAGTGATAGAGCGCCAGCTAACGGCAAATTAAGGTGTACTGGCTTAGGGTGGAGCGCAACAGGCCTCAGAAATTATTATTTTTTAAATATTGAAAAATCTACGCTTGAATACCAAAATATGAGTTGTATGCAGCCCTGCACATCAACAAGAATTAACTTATATTCAATATCTGGTATGTATAGCTATTCATTCTTTATGTGGTATGTAAAACAATTTTTTAAAAACTAAATGGCAGTCACTTCAACATATGTTTTTTACGAACAACAAGGAGAGAAACTTGAAAGTATTTTTTTTAATTTGAGATAAAGAAAGACTTCATTTCGTTGAATTATGAGGTGTTTTGTTTGACTAAATAAAATACCCTATGGAGGGCTAAAACGTTTTTTTTAAACACACTTATATTTGGATTTCACCCGACCTTTCTCATCACCATCGATCTGTCTCATTTATTTAACCAATCAATGTGGACTTTACATTTTATTTGGCTACTACGCGTCTGCCTCGTCTCTCTCTCTCTCTTTCTCTCTCTCTTTCTCTCTCTCTATCTCTCTCTTCTATCTTGGTCCCTCGCTCCAAAGCTCTTTCTCCTGTCCCTATTCTCTCTTACTCCCCTATCTCTCCCCTCTCCTCTTCCCCTCTTCTTCCGTTATGATATCCTCTCCCTTTCCCCTCTCTCTGCCCCCCCCCCCTCTCTCTCCATCTTCCATCTCTCTCAATCCCCTCGATATCAATCTTCTCGCCCTCTCCTCTGTCTATCTGTCTCTCTCACACAACCATTCTTCTTTTTGTATATCTCGCTCTCTCTCGCTTTCCTCTCCTCTTTCGATATCTTGCTCTATCTCCTATTCTCTCTCACTCACCCTCTCTCTCCCCACTCTCCTCTTACTGTCTCTCTCTCTCTCTCTCTCTCTCGGTACACCCCTCTCCTTTTTTATTTCTCTTCCTCTCGACCCTTCTCTCTGTTACGTTCTTTCGCATCCATCCATTATCTTTGATCTCTTATCCATACCACCTTCCTTATCCAGCCCCTCTCTTTCATTACCTTCTTCTTCCTCTCTCTCCCCACTATCTCACTGTCTCTTAATCTCTTCTCCCCCCTCCTTCCTTTAATTTATATCTTCCTTAGTTTAAAGGGAAGGGTACATCACTGTCAATGTCTTTGATTGTTAACAAATGATAACAATTGTGAAGATGTTAGTTTTTATAAGGTTGGATTACAACAGCTTAAATGAGAAACACAAGAGACTTATTTTTTCAATTTATTTCATGTTTTATTTCATAATCCTTGATTTTCATTTCATTGTAATAGCTTAAGTACGTTTTTTTATGAGGGGACATGCAGGATGTGGTAGGGAAACCTTTTTTGGACGTATACGACAAGAGATAAAACACTACACTTAAAGAATGAAGCCACATAAAATGCAGCTAAATTACAACGTTCTGCGGAATTGAGATAGGAATTCTGGTTGATTTTTTTTGTTAAAATATTTTTGTTAGGACTTTGGATGAAAACTGGGAGGGGAAAAAAGCAAGGCTAAGTAGACTCTGAAGTCTCCTACAATAATTTCATCCCCTATTCCCATGTTAACTAAACATACTTTTTCACCTTAATCTTTGGTGTGTTTTAAGACAGTTTTAAGACAGAAAGAAATCAACTTGTAGAAATTATTTATGAAAAATCATTATTCCAGTCGAGAATCTCCTGGCTATAGATGTCCTGTGTCAAGGTAGCAGACAATCGGTCTAGGCGGCTGTAAAATAATGAAAACACAAACATAAACAATTATTAGACTTAGAAAATTCCATAAATAATTTAAATATATTTATTGTTTGTGCATATCAAATATAAGGTATCCAAATAGTTTGATTTAATTTGATTTGACACGTATTTGTTTTCCGTAACAAGAGAGGGAAAGATAGAGGGAGAACAGTTTTAATTATTATTAGCATTACCATAAGTAGTAGTAGAATAGTAGCTTAAGTAGTATCATCATCATTATCATCATCATCACTATTTTTAGTGGAAGTAGTATTAGAAGTCTTAGTAGCAGTATCATTATTATTACCAGACAAAAAAATGCACCGTATTCTAACTTTGAATCTTTATGGCAGTAACCGCGCGTGAACAGTCTGTAATCATGATCTGATCATAGAGGTAATCAATGCATTTTCCGTAGTATCAAATAGCCAGTATAGGATGAAGCCTGCTCGCACCCCTTTGCATTCCATTTATTGAAGTCCCGGACCCCCCCCCCCGGCTCAATGAAAACAAAATCCCCTTGCACTCCATTGGACAGTGAAGCAAACCCATCCCCCCCCCCCCCCAAAAAAAAGAAAAAAAGAAAAAAAGAAAATGGATACGCCACTCAGACGCCCCTGCTTACCAGGCAAACATTCCTCGTAGTGATCCTTCACTTGGCATTTCTCGGTCTTTGTCGGGCTTACGTAACACCATGGGCGACCCCAATCGTCGCCGGTATCGTAGGAACGGCACTTGTTCTCTGCCAAGCCAAAGAGCAGGTAGTATCTGTTGGACGGTTCGAGGTCGGCCCAGGCAATGCAGGTTAGACCGGTCTCTGAGGTGTTCACATTACCCTGGTAGTCGGGACCGCGGGCTGTTGTCATGCACTCCGGGTTCATTCCAATACGGGGCTCTGTGTGAAGACATGGAAGGTGACTATTTGTTAGTACAACGTTTAAAGGCCGTCTGTACTAGTTCGGCCAGAAGGGATTAGACCACCCAGCGAGGTCGCTGACAGCTGGCTATCTCATCAACTCAGCTCTCAATTAACATGAGCAAAAGAGGATCATGGGGGACGTATAGGCACCGATTGGAGAAGTTTTCTTTATAGAGGTAGCAAGTAGCTATAAGTAATACAATGGGGATTTAAAGCCATACTGTACAAGAAAAAACCCCTCGGCGCCATCTCAGGTCAGCTGTAGCAGTATATGGTCCCGTAACTCGCTGCTTCCCTAGCCGCACTGTTGGTTCTCGCTTCGAGACCTCTGTCTGCGTAGCGGAAAATGACGAATTGGGCTACGTACTTTTGGCATAATTTTTGAAAGGGCCGTTTCGTGAATGGGAAGGGGACACTTCAGTTGGCATCAATTATTTATGGCCAGTAAATTAAAACCACTTACGTCCGACTGGGGTTCCCTTGCCAGGGCAAGAAGAGCTGAGATACCTAGCAGTGTCGCAGTAGCCCCATCTCATCCTGTTATGAGAAAAGGGAAAATGGAATACTTTTAAGAATGAAACATACTGTAAGAGCCAAAATGAAATTGTGATCTGCCAACAAATATAACATTTTCATTACTTTCTTTCTGTGTCGATCTAGGGATTTTACATTAAGAAAATGAATTCTATGAAGCAATTTTGATAACACAATGCCTTTTAGCCCATTATTGGCCCTATAAACCTTACAATGCATCAGTAGAATTTTAAAAAATCCGTCGAAGACCGCGCCAGTCACTGACGTAGCCCTGCGTCAGGCCAATAACGCGTCGTGTGACACTGGCTTAAGATTTGCGTCAATGGTTCTTACCCAGCGGAGGGATCAGCGATCCAGCACCATGGCCCTTCGGTGGTACCCTCGGGACCATTGCCGTCGGTTCGGCAGTAGTTGTGGCTTCCGAAGAGGACTGCGTCGTGACGTGGCTTGCTCTTCTTTGCGTCGTTTCTCGGGTTGGGGAAGTTGACATCCCATCGCTGACACTCGAACCCGCCTTCCGTCATCGCAACGTATCCGGTGTAGTCCAGGCCGGTCGGGTCGGTGTAGCACTCGGCGGCTGCGTAGTCAGCGATGGCGTCGAAGGCTGCTTTCTGCTCGGTGAAGTCTGTGTGGGGGAAACAGAGGAATATGATGAACAAAAACAGCTCATTACACTCTTCGCACGAGGCGTTATTTCGGTTGCGCTATCACCTGTGCTAGGCCTTCATCAGTTAGTGAACCCGAGGTTTGATCTTGTTCACTTTGCACTCATTTTGGGAACGATTTTTGCTTTCACAATGACACGCCAAAGACAGCAGAATCATTAAATCATCGACATTAACGTTACCATTCTTATACCTCGTTCCTCATAGACGCGGCAAAACAGTGGCGCTTTTTTGTAATGATGACGTAGTGATGTAATCAGGCTTCACATTTCTGTATGTATCACATATATCCTTGAATATACGTTTATGACCAGTGTAGCGCCCAGTTGCCATTCATTTACACGACAACGGCGGTTTACTGCGTCATATCTGTACAAGCCTTTTAGCAACAAAACCTACGGTAGGTTGTCTTTGTTTCGTCACAGGTATAGAATTAAGGTTAAGGTCGCACACATCGGCTGTTAAAATAAAGTTAGTGACGCGGTTATTGTCAGTTTTAGGTAGAGTATTTGGTCCAGGTTTGAAGTTAGGAATGCGGTTAGAGCCGCGGAGAAATCTTTGCTGGAGCACGGTCGTTTTACCACTACGACCTGTGACTTTGAATATGCCTCTAGTCGATTGAAATTTTATGAATATACAATAATTTATTTTCGTTAAAGTTATTTTGTTGTTGATTTGTGATCCCATGTTTTCTCCGAACAATTTTAGCTTTGCATAAGACGAAAAACACATTGGATTTTGATATGCAAATAATATTGTCTAATTTGCTTAAGGTCGCGCCTTGGGTGAGAGAGCTGGAAATGTTTTGTTACCAGTTCAGATTCCAAATCAACAACAAATTCAACGGAAAGAACTTTCTAGGTTCGCTGTTGGTTCTAAATATGATCGTCATACGGGCTACTACCTTCAATGGCTGGTTTGTCGGTGCAAACATCAAAGACAGTGGAAATGTTCCCACAGTATTCCCATTCCACCTCCTCCAAAATTGTGTAACACCATGGGGCTGACTTTCCACTGCCAGCGTAATTACGGCAGTAGTTGGAGTCGTCGTGGAAGAGGAAGTGCTCCAAATTGCTGCTCAAAAGAAAGGGGAGAACGGATATAATGTAGATTCAAGATTAAATGTCTGTGTTATGAATCTTTGTTTCGACTGTGGACAGTCTCATGTTTGGACACCTTGCAATTGTTGGACACCTCAGTTTCCAGACACCGACACCTCTCTGTTCTGACACCCATAATTATGTTCTGACACAACTGTGTTCCGATACTAATCCTTCGATACCCCCTTAATCCAGATATTTGTTAATACTCCCCTCAATTCTGCCTACCCTTAATCCTGCATCCCCCATATGTTAACAGACCAACATCCCGTTATGCCAACACCTCTATGCTCCGACATCCAAATATTCCGAAACCAAAACACTCCAACGCCGTTGTTTCAATACCCCTATTTTCAGGTATTTTCAAAACAACTGTACCTCTATGTTTCTTCATCCATATTCTGCCACGTAGAGGTACAACAGAGCAAAGTTCTAAATCGATCGAAAATTTCATACGTACATCATATTGCTCAGGGAAAAAAATATATAAAACATTTCGGAGGCTACTTTTCAAGCTTGCTTGCATGAAAATCACACTCTTTAATTTGTTTTACATTGAACTCTATGCACATTTTTTGAGGCCCTTCTATGACTTTCGGGGGCTCTTTTTGGAATTTCGGGGGCTACTTCGCCCTGAGCCCCCGTGTATTTTATCAATATTGCATTATCCTTTGTTACTTATGCCATGTACCCTTCATGATGTTCCTTTCCCATTCTACTAACTACAGTTATCTGATTGCAAGCTGTGAGATGTTTGAGTTACCCGACACGATTGGGATGAGTATTTGCCCAGGCCTGGCACATATAACCGCTGATAGTTGTACTGGCGTCTCCACGGTAGTCCGACCCATCATATTCAGTGTAGCATGCAGGGCCGGATCCAACAATTGCAACTATAAAGAAACGTTATTAAAGAAATACGATGATGGATAATTTTAATACCTCAAGTAAGATATTGTTGACGCCTTTAAAAATGAATATGCAAATTAACGCATTTCTTTGAATATTTAATATATGTATTTGCATTTGGTAACACCTAACTTTTTTAAGCCTACGATGCTGTGGCCTCGATCGTTATCAATAAGGACTTTTAGATTTGCACGACGAGAACGTGGACTGCTCGTGTGACATCCTATTAAGGCAATGTGACGTCCTTTTAAGGGACTGGCAGTGACGTCACATTGCCTTGAAAGGATGTCACACGAGTAGTCCACGTACGTTCTCGTCGTGCAAATCTAAAAGTCCCTATTAAGAAAAGTCAGAAGCCTTCGAGACATTTCGGCCTCGAGAGCTGTCGGTCGCGTGGGACGTCTGTCTTGGGAACCATCATATAAATTTGCAGAAGGCCCGCGAGACATCATTGTCGAGGGCTGATACCTATTCAGATGTTTTGCACAATAGGTTTAGGAGGCCTCTTGTTTCTTAAAAAACGAAATTACAGTAGATTTGGGGGACACCGTAGTGTTTGTAGGAAGGCTCCTCACTCTCATACCAGAGGTCCTGGGTTCGATTCCCGCTCGGCGCTTTCATCCTTAATGGAATTATTGGACATGAATTGTTGCCGTCATTTGTCGAGTCCCTCTCAGCCCAGTTCTATGAGATGGGTACCTGGTATTATATGGGTATGATACTTGGGTTGCAGACATAAATAACAGAAATAACACAGCTGTGGCTAAATTTAATTAATAAGACCAACGCTGCACATATTCCACGCAATTCGAATTTAATAATAATAAGAATAGTAGAGAATGTAGATGTTTTAATACTTTATGCCTACATTTAAAGCAACACTCACCATTCTCACAGTTAGTACCGATGAATGCGGGAGCACATGTACACGAATAGTCATTCAGTAAGTCTGAACACACCCCTCCATTCTGACACGGCCCCGAGGCACATTCGTCAATATCTTCAAAAAACAGAGTATTGCAATATTTAGTTTATTAAAACCTCACTCACACTTGCAAAATAAATGCATATCGTCCCAAAACCGATCTTTAATTTGTTCGCCATTGAGGGCATTTTTCTGTTTGGTTCGGTCCGTAATTGGTCTGCGATGTGTGTTGGTGGTGTGTTTATGTATTACCAGGTTAACTGTGACTCCTGACATGTTACGTCTTTACAAATATAATAAACCAGACAATTTGAACCCTCAATTAATATATTGTATTACATCTTGACCAAAACTTAGGAAAATGGGTTGGTGCCCTTCTACTAAATGTTCAACATCAGTGCCCTAACCTCATGGAGTTGCTTTTTGGCAGCGATTTCCCTATATCTGCACCTTAGAGAGGTAATATTCCAGGTTCCAAAACTAGATGTCAGATCTGCAAATATGTATTACTACCATCAATGTCTCTAAAAAAAAACGTTGCTCTCCGCCCAGGACTACATGTTTGATTTTAGTTCAAGAGAGGCCAATGTTTCCTCATACGCGTTCTCATAGTATTCCACTTTTATATATTCACCAGTTTCGCAGTTCGATCCAGAGAAACCGGGGCTGCATATACACTCATAATCTCCTGGCAAGTTATTGCAGACTCCACCGTTAAGGCAGGGTCCGGATGCACACTCATCAATATCTGTCAAAATAAATGAATAAATGAATAAGTTGAACAGGTAATTAGGTACATACAATTCCATGAAACCTTTATCATAATATAATTATTATATTTGAATATATAATTATATAAATGAATAAATACAAACAAAGTTAGATAAATATACAGTTTAAGTTCAAGTTTAATTTTAATTTGTTCCACATTTTACAAACAATATATACATAGTTTATTACATATATAATAATATAAATTAAATATAAACACATGTAGTATGAGACTATGAGCACGTCCCAACGGTAATCAATTTATATGGTAGATTAAGCAATTTGTTTGCGTATTCATATTATATATATTAAAATAAATACTTCCTACCAGTCCCGCAGTGTTCTCCGATGAAACCGGGGGCACAGTCACAGATATATCCGCCATGTGTATTATTACAGATCCCACCGTTTAAGCAAGGTTCGTTACGAGCACATTCGTCAATATCTTTATAAAAAAAGGGAGATATATGGTATTATATACCGCACGTAAACATTCTATGCCTTTGATAGGCCAAGCAATATGATAAGCAAATTGAAAAGCAATTTGTTTGCGTCATCATATTATATATACATATTAATATAAATACTTCCTACCAGTCTCGCAGTGTTCTCCGTTGAAACCGGGGGCACAGTCACAGATATATCCGCCATGTGTATTATCACAGATCCCACCGTTTAAGCAAGGTTCATTACGAGCACATTCGTCAATATCTTTATTTTAAAAAAGGAGAAAGATAGTAGTAGTACTATATACCGCACGTAAACATTCTAGGCCTTAGATTGCAATTCAATACTATAACTGCTAGGCAGTATAGAGGGTAAAAAAATATGACCGGGCATATAAAGTTCTACCTGCTTGTACAGTAGTACAATGCAAGGTCGGAATAGATGCTTGTATGAAGTAACAACGACATTAAGTAACATCGAACGCTCGTTAGCTGGATTACCAGACTATAAATCATAATTTGTTTGCGTCATCATAATTATTATATGTATTGATGTATGAATAATTCATACCAGTCTCGCAGTGCTCTCCGAGGAATCCGGGGGCACAGTCGCAGAGATATCCGCCATGTGTATTATCACAGATCCCACCGTTTAAGCAAGGTTCATTACGAGCGCATTCGTCAATATCTTTAAAATAAGGAGAAAGATAGTACTATAAAAAACTATACCGCACGTAAACATTCTATGCCTTTGATTACAATTCACTACTATAACAGCTAGGCAGATATAGCGGGTAAAAAAAAAAATATTATCTGGCATATAAAGTTCTACCTGCGGGAACAATGCAAAGTCTCAATAGATGCTTGTACGAAGTCAACAAAGGATACACGTATAGTGAGACACGTACACTCCATTAGCTCGTCATGAATTACATGAATTGAAATTAGAGAAAATTTTAAAATTGTCGGCAGTGAACCTCTTTCTTACCGCCTTCGCATGTTTCTCCCGCAAAGCCAGGGGCACACAGACAAGTGAATCCTCCAACGGCGTTGGTGCACTCTCCTCCATTGGCACAGGGCATGAACTCGCAGAAATTGATCTCTGTAAATATATGGAATGATTGTAATAGCAAGAGAGGGAGAGAGAGCAACAGAGAGACAGAGAGAGAGAACAAAAAAAATAGAGATTGAGAGGGAAAGAGAGAAAGAGAGAGAGATAGATAGAGACAGAGAGAGACAGAGAGAGTATTTCATTATAAAAAAATATGAACAGACTGATGAAAATATTAGGGAAATCGCCATCTTGTTTTTTGGGGGAACATCAATCTATAGGGCAGACATTTGGTCCAATGTGATTTTTTTTCCTTATAATGTGATATCAAGACATTAGCCTGTTTAAATTTTATGGCAGAATTAATCATTTATGCCGAAATTGTCATTTTCTACAAGTTTTATAGCACCACTCTCTTTGCAATGATTTTGCAAAACTAAATGCAAATTTAAATTAACTGTCCTTATAGTCTTACTTTAATAATTATTATAATTGATTTGCAAACACTTACCGATTTCGCAGTTAGCTCCCTCGTAGCCTTCTGCGCAGTGGCAGGTGAATGAGTTGAGTCCATCCACACACACTCCTCCGTTCAGACACGGGTTAGATGCGCATTCATCGATGTCTAAAAGTAATGATAGTTTTATCATATTTTTTTTAGAAATACTTATGCAGCTGTCGTCATCAATATATAATTGTTGTGATAAGCATTATCTAAACAGGGTTTTCAGTGTTTTTAATACAAAATAATTAGCCAATGGCAGGAACATATTAAAGATAAAGTTGAGTTCTGGTCACGCGATTGTATTGTGAAAGAATAGGTTTAGAATGGATCAGAACAAATTGATCTTGTAGCATGTAAGTATTGGTGTGTACTGCAAGGTTCTGGAGTCATCAAAATCATAATAAATTTGGCCCAGTCTTGGTAAAGTAACAAGCACTGTACACCGACACCATTTTGTGTTATCCCATTACTCCCATATACTATATGGGACAACGCAAAATGGTGTCGGGCCTACTTACCTTGATTTCCTTTTCTTTCTGTGCTCATTACTCAGCTAGTATACATTTTCTACCAAAATTGTTTGGCAAATTTATTTGTAATCTTGAACATTCAGTGTAAGTTTCGTTTGATTCTGTGAGAATACATTTCCTTTTTTTTTAAACAGAACTCAAGTTTATCTTTAAGAAAGAAAAACAAATTGGTGAGGACTTACTAAATTCGCAGTTAGCTCCTTCGTAGCCTTCAGCACAGTTGCAGGTAAATGCATTGAGTCCATCCACACACACTCCGTTCATACACGGGCTAGATGCGCATTCATCGATGTCTAAAAGTAATATACAAATGATAGTTTTATTATAATTTTTAATATTTATACAGCTGTCGTCATCAATATATTGTAATTGTTGTGATATGCAATATCTAAACAGGGTTGGAAAGAGAGCACTATTGTCAGCTGCACGGTAAGGCTATTTTTTTTAAATTATAAGTCTGTACTTGTAACGTATATACACAAGTAGGTTCCCAAAGATAAAGAAACAACAACGTAATATATACAAGGTTTACAAAGATAAAATAATCGGAGACAGAAAAGAAAGAAAAAAAGGAAAGAAAAAATTATGATATTCCATATTGTCAGATTATTATAAACAATCTTTTCTTAGAGACTTGTTGGAAATATATTTTCAGTGTTTTTTAATACCAAATTATTAGCTAATGGCAGTTACCTAATTATTAAGAAAGAAAAAAAGAATCGGTGAGGACTTACTAAATTCGCAGTTAGCTCCTTCGAAGCCTGATGCGCAGTTGCAGGTAAATGAGTTGAGTCCATCCACACACACTCCGTTCATACACGGGCTAGATGCGCATTCATCAACATCTAAAATGACGCACAAACAGGAAATCATTACCTTTGACCAGGACAATTCTATTAAAATGACAAACCGTTTATGACTACAGATAAAGAAAAGGAGACCATACGGACAACCCAAGAAACGTACGAGCCATTCTAAAGACATTGTAATTTGGGATATATTGTTTTAACGAGTATATCATCATTACGTCCATTGACATATTCGGTGGGGAGCTGAGAAGGCTGCAGTAAGTTATAGCTACTTGCTCCCTCTATATACAGGATATAGAAAACAATGTCTATTAGATGACCATTGGTCCCCCATGATCCCTTTTTCTTATATTAATTGAGAGCTGATTTGATGAGATAACCACCTGTCAGTGACCTTGCAGGGAAGTCTAATCACCCTGGCCAAACTAGTGCAGACGGGCTTTGACTGAAAACCGAGTTCTACTTTCTCAAAACTTACTGACTTCACAGCGGTCACCTCCAAATCCAGGTGCACAGTTGCAGGAAAATGTGTTGATGTCATCGGCGCACATACCGCCATTCTGGCACGGGTTCGATGCACACTCATTGATGTCTAAAAACAATAAGAGAGAAACGAAAATCCAGTTCTATTGATTAACTCTTTACATACCCCGCCCTCCTCCCCTCTGCCAAATCGTATTGATCATGAAACTAAACTAGAATGTATTTGAAAAACTACGTCACTCTTTGGAATACGAAGTAGCAGAGGTATATTTATTTAAAACGCCTAAAAAGTTAATTCTGGCCTTTTTTATTAAAAAAAAAAAAGCATCAACAACAACGACAACAAAATGGTACATACCCTGTTCGCAGTTGGTTCCAGTGTATCCTCCTGCGCATGTGCATGAGTAGGTTTCGGAAGTCAGGCGGTTGCAGGAGCCATGGACGCAAGGAGTGGATGTGCACGGATCTATAGACATGAAAATTAAAGAACATGAACGAGAATATCATGATTGTGATAATCATTAAAGTGACCTCAAAGGCCCGTATTCTAATAATAAATAAACCCAAACGCTGGCTTTACAAGGCATCAAGTTAGGCGGACTTAGAATCCGTATACGTGCTCTTTAAGGTTATTCTTTATTTTCTTAATACTTCTTAACCATTAACTCATGAAATGCCAGGCAAAGTTTTTTTTTTATGTGGTTGAATTGATACATTCTAGTTATACATAAATCCCTTTTTAAAGAGATTGATATACACTTTAGTAAGAGAGAACACTATCCTCTGAAGCTTTGCCTTTTAAGTATACCGCATTTAAAATATAACAAAGTAATTAGTTGCCGACTATAGCTTAGTAAGGTTTTAAGAATATAAGCCCATGTTCCTTTTTTTTTAAATCGTGATGATAAAAATCAACTTACCAGTACACGAGTTGTCATTCAAGATGTTATCGAGAAGTACTGTTGAAAATTTAAAAATAAATAAATTTAGTATTTCACAAGAGTTTATGAAATACATAATGTTACGGCGTTTATAATATGCATGTATATACATTTACTTAGCTTAAAGAAAGATGATGTTTCTTTTCTCTCATTAATGTATGATTGTATATATTTTATCACGCCACCCGTAAATGTAGACATGATATTATGCTGTTTTTATTTGTTTGATGCAAAATAGATACATATATAATTAATTGATTTGAAGTGAAATGAATATGACAATTTATAGACCTAATAATCCGTTCTCATCGCATCTGTTGTGTGTAATGTTGGGTATGTGGTAAAATCGATTTGAATGTATTTAAATATATTTATAGAAATAACATGTCGTGTATTTTGTCTTTGACGAACTAGCAAATTAATTGAGATAACAATCATGATAATAGTCATTATCATCATCAATATGCTTCTTTTTCTTCTTTTTCCTCTTCTTCTTCTTCTTCTTCTTCTTCTTCTTCTTCTTCATCTTATTGTCATTATCATTACTTTTAAGATTATTATTAGTATTATTTTGATTATCATCAGTATTACTAGCTTATTTTAAATGAAACGAGATGAAGAAATATTAATGAAGATTCATAATCAACCACTTAGCTGCGATTTTATTTATATTTTACAAATCTTGAACTCCAAAATCTTACCCAGTGCTTCGCTCAACATGTTTTCTACGTGGTAAGAAAACAAAAGAAAACAGATTATTATTTTGAAATAATATCTTACATTCTCATTTTATCAACGTTTAGCAAAATAAATCATAATTTGGTAGGGCCTACCTCTGATAAGAGAAATGTATGATTGGTAATTAAATGATTTAATACGTAGGGCTTAATCCATTGCCTATTGGAGCCTGTTGGCCCCTGTATTAAGCCTATGGCAACGAATAGATTCAGAAATCAACGGGTTAAAGGAGAATGAAATCCAGCAAACAGTGGGTGATAATCTTATTCAAAAACTGTCAGAAAATGGCTAGCAAAAAATTGCAATTTTGGAAGAGATGCAATTAAATGATCAAATAGGAGTAATTTCAAGAATATTTTAAATTCCGTTTTGCAACGATTTTATTATTATTATGACTTGTCTTTTTATCTCATGATGATAAGGGTGAGCATAATAGGTTTTGTCACGAAAAGAGGCATTAGATAGAGTATAAATTGTTTTTGTTTGATAATCTTTCATTTCCTAATAGATGTTCTGTTTTCATCATTGATAAATACAGTATGCACATGAAATACGTAAATAAATCGTAAGGTAAATCGAACCAATCGGCACTTACCGGAATCTCCACAATCATTCACTGTAAGAAGAAAGAACAAAAAATAATGAAAGAATTAGTTAAAGAACCCCGGCTAAACGTGTTGAGATTTAGACTATTGTATAGAAAATCATTTCTAAATTTAGGATTTTATTCTTCAGATTATTCGGGAATAGATTCAAGAATATTCATAATTAGTTACTTTTACATGTTTGTTTTTTGACGTGTTCTTAGGCATTACATTAATGTTGATTAATGCGCCATGCCTTTTTAAAGTGATCTCTGAGAAGTGTCTAACTTATGTTTCTAAGTTGCCCAAACATTGTGGAGCGAGTGTGCAGCGCTTTGTAACTGCAAGGAAAAGGCGCTATATCAAGTATCTTTTGGATTGGATTGGATTGGATTGGATTGGATTATGATGGCAAAATAAGTATGGTTAGGAAACAATGACAATTTTAAAAAAATGCCATAACTTACCTGGTTTGCACATGTCTTTGTCCATGTTAGCAATACAGTGTTCTAAAAGAGAACAAAAGTATTTACAAGAAGTGTTATTCCATCGATTCATTTGAAGAAAAAATGCGTTAACGTTATTATGTAAAGTAAACTGGAAGCGCATGTAAAGGCTGGATATGTTACCGACATTGCAACCACTGCTCCCATGTATTCTAAATTGCGCCATCTTTCGGTGTAAGCATACATGGAGCGATTTTCGGGTCCTGTATACATAAGCATGCACTCACGCCAACGAATTCGACGACTCACACGCGCGTCATTACTTTGTGATGCACTGTGGGACAAGGATGTCGACATATTTTGAGGGCATTTTGAGCAGCACATGGCCGTATACGTAAATCTGACGTGGTGTCAGTAGAATATTCTGCCTTTCAGATTTAGATTTAGATGCAATTACGCGATAAATAGGAGTTTCGTGTCACCTTTTAATTGTAAGAATTTGTCGTTGAAAAAATAAGTGGAAAGTTTCAATCCATTTCTGTTGCAGTACATTATGCCGTTCACGAATGAGAGCGATTTAATCGAAAATAATTTTTGAAGTCGCTAAAAGGGCAACGCAAAGGACGTTCATAATCACTTTTTCATGTACAAATTGACAATTTCTTGTGGACTTTTTGTAATTTCAATTAACACTGTTTCATTTGATATACAATTTTATTTGTTAAAACTATGAAAGAGTGAAGAAAAAACAACAACAATAAAATGTTGCAAATTTGAGGAGGAAATGCTGATTTATTTCGACCTCTAGAAAACTCTGAACTGCTATGGGTTTAGGGACGCGAGGAGAGAAGAAGAAGAAGAAAGAGAGAGAGAGAGAGAGAGAGAGAGCAAGAAAGATAGAAATGCAACTTACGGAGCTGGTTAGCGGAGACCATCCCGGGGACGAGGTTGGTGATGACCTCGGCATAGTTACAGAAGTCGATCTGGATGGTAGTCATCTGGTAGATGTTGCATGTACCCTCTGAAACGAAAAACAGGTGTAGAAATAGGGGTTGATTCGAAAATATATTTATTATGAAGAAGAAAAAAACATATCGTAGCTCAAGAGCTAAATTACATGCATTTAAATACCGATTAAAATACAATGTGATTCATATTTCTAAATAAAACTGCCGTTATATAAAAGAAAAATAAAGAGACGCTACAAAAATTAAAAGAAAGAAAGGGAGGGGTGGTTACCGCTCATGCTCTGGTAAAAAAATACACACACATAGGTGTTGTGGTCTTGACTAGTGGATACGTCACCGGACTGTATAGATTAAAAGGTTCGCGGCTCGAGTCTCGCCCGCTTCTAACACCGAAACATTGTTCATTTCTTTCTTTGTTTTCTGTCTGTATTTCTCACATTCATTCATTGTACCTTTCCTTATTCATTTTATTATTTCTTTCCTTTCCTCTTTCTTTTTCTCTTTTTTTCTTTCCTTATTTCTTTCTTTCCTTGTGTCTTTCTTTAAATCTTTCTTTCTTTCACTCCTTCCTTTTACTCACCGACCATCACTCCGGCGACGGAGAGAAGAAGGCAAATAACGGCAAACGACTGCATGGTTTCTTCGATGATCTGGAGTTCTACGGCAGAGAAACAGCTAGATGTACCCTGCCATACAAAGAAACAAAGAAAATAATTTCATTAATGTCTCTAGCCACGGTGTGGGGCACCAAGATAATAATGACAATTACATTAATAATAATAAAAAAAAACGCTATTAATAACAACAATATTAATATTAATAATACTACTAATAATGAAAATATGATAATGATAATAATGATAAGGAGAACACCGAGTCAGTTAATATTATTGATTCAATGCAAGTTCACACTGATTAATCTTAAAAGTCTCGGAAGCGTATGAACAAATTAATTTTCATCAAGAATATTTGTGTTGGAATTGACGCAATAACACTTTTTATGAAGGCCTACATATCCTCCTCCTCATTTACGAAAATCCTGAACGAGAAACTAGGTATCATATTTCGATGGCCTTAAAAATCAGGAAAAATAAATCAACTTACCGACTGAAAACCCACGGTGTAGTCCGTTGGACGAATGTGAATCAACCTGGAAAACCTGTCCTCTTTTATACACCTTTTTGTATCAAATTCTGTGAGAATCTCTACACATGTTGATATTAATATGTCGATATCATCCGGCTTAACTGTCCCTCTCTGCATGTCTATCAGCGGTCGTGATCGTTTATTGATTACTTTGAATGACAAAACAATCATTCATTCTGAGATTTTGTTCGCGGTTTTTAATTAAGTATTTTGATTTATTGACTTTTGAGTGTTTTATAAAAGAATAATACTTCAAACTGACAGACGTTGATATACATAATGTTAACATGATTAATTTGAAGGTTTTAATTTCTCTTCCCCATGTCAACTTTAAACGTTTAGGACACCTATATTTTAATAACTCATGGTTGTTCTGTAAACAAAGAACATGATGGTTTGCAAGTTTAAAGAGAAAATTTAGTTTTTGGAAAGATGAAAAATAATTTGTGAGTTTTCTTTTATTGCTAGGTTAGAAGGATATTATAGTAGAAAGAACTAGTCTTCTTTTACCATCATATTTGAAATAGGAGGAGAAATAACCTTAATTTTTTTTTTACCAAACTCCGTTCCACCTGCGTGTTTAGTCCCATTTATTAGTTTCTGTGCGGATTTTTTTTCCTACCAGTAGAAGATTGAGACAATTTCCTTACCTTTTCATCTTTCTTAAAAAATGTATGCACTACACAATAATCTTTGATTAGTTCGGCCACATAAGCTTTTCACAATGTAATCGTCAGTACTAAAATGTGATTCTAAATCTTAAATGGAAAATGAACGTGAAAAGGAGACTTAAAGATTCCGCCTTCTCACACACTCCTCCTCTATAATTACGTTTGTGTTAATTTGCAATTCTTTCATTAAATAAGACCGCCCGATGCCCCCCCCCCCTAAACTACTTTACTACTTTCACCTCTAACTACGCCCCGAAGGAAATTGATGCAATAGTGTAAGAATGTTGAAATCTAAGGAGGGAAAAGTTGCATTTATTCTTACCAGTGCAAATTTGATTAAGAAATATCGCCTTCTCAATGTCATAAAATATCGACGAATACGCTTGATGTGGTCGTGGCATGTTTAAGTAAGACGATTTATGTTTGGTTAGAGAAAGAATGACAATTCCCAGTCAACAGGTGTCGTATATTAAGTGTTTCGAGCTTGTCGATAGGACGTCGATGTGATGAAATTGAATTGAAAATACATTTAATTATTAGAGAGTTAGCCAGGTTACAAATTGACTGACATCTGAGAGTGCAGCGTCTTTCCGCCTCCTCTCTCTCTCTCTCTCTCTCTCTCTCTCTCTCTTCCTCTCTTGCTTTGACCATGGTCCATGCTTTGACCCATCTCTCCAATCTCCCCTATCTCTTTTTATCTCTCTCTCTCTCTCTCTCTCCAATCTCTCTCCCTTCCCCGTCCTCTCTGTTCTTTCTCTCTCCACTTCCTCTATCCCCTCTCTCTCTCATTCTCTCTCCCTCCCCCTCTCTCTCATACTCCCCTCTCTCTATACATATCTAGCTGTTTATCCGTCTCTCTGCCTGTCTGTCTGTCTGCCTGTCACTCTCTCTCTCTCTTTCTCTATCTCTCTGTCTCTATACGCCCGCTACCGAAGCCCATGATCCGCAATATGCATATCTCTACCAGGTTACCTTACTCTATGAAGCGCAATTTCCATACCCTAATCTATGATTACCCCATAAAATTCTTGGCCCTGTTTCATAAAACTTCTAATCGATAACCAATGATAATTTTTTTGACAAATTTGCTCACAACTAATCAGATACCACGATCTCGGTAGCTTATAACAGTTATTGTAACTTGTTAATGATACAAGTTTCATGAAACAGGGCTCTAATCCGGATTATATAATACATCATTGCAACGTTCGAATATTCAATTGGTGGTGGAAAAGGCTATTGTAAAAATACTAGAGTTGATTTCTTGAAAGTCTTTGCCATCTTATTTGTATTTCATATTTTGTTTTCAATGTGTATGTGTAAGGACCATTAGTGGCGGTGATGGTGGAAGGGGGGAGGTAGAAATGAGGACCAACAAATTGCGTACATAACGCAGAAATGGTTAGCATTTAAATGAGGAATTTGTATATACTTTATATATAAATCGATATTGCTGATGAATGTTATAATAGAATCTATAGTACAGGTATTCATGTAATTACAGATTCTGAAGTGCAACTATATCAATTATTCCATATGATGAGAAAAATAATTGCTTTTATTACAAACTTTTCATGCAAATATATATATAAAATTAGAAATGGCTGATTATTCGGCTAAAGTTTATTAGATAATTATTTATAGCTAAAGTATATTGCACGAGCGACTGAAGTTGAAACGGTGGGAATTTTTGATTTCATCCTTGAATATTTGGTAAATGAATACTTGAATATGGATTATTAAAAAAAAGGAAAGATACACATGAATTAAATGTGCGATGAAAATAATGGGTAATTATTAGCTTGTTTCCCATTAACATGTATATCATGTCATATGTAAAGTACTCTAAAATTGCAATTAATAAGCATGAAAGTTATAGCATTAAGGAAGACACGAAGACTGAATGTGAAGAGAACTACTTTTTCAAAGTGACAATGAATATGTTGCCGATCACAATGATAACTACGAAATAAAGAATATAAATAATGACGAAAGGAAAATGCTTTCCCGATATATTATGTGCGGGTGATGTTCTTTTTCAGAGAGAAAGAGAGGGGAGGGGGTAACGGAGAGAGGGAGAGGGAGAAGAAGAAGAAGAAGAAGAAGAAGAAGAAGAAGAAGAAGAAGAAGAAGAAGAAGAAGAAGAAGAAGAAGAAAAAGAAGAAGAAGAAGAAGAAGAAGAAGAAGAAGAAGAAGAAGAAGAAGAGGAAGAAGAAGAAGAAGAAGAAGAAGAAGAAGAAGAAGAAGAAGAAGAAGAAGAAGAAGAAGAAGAAGAAGAAGAAGAAGAAGAAGAAGAAGAAGAAGAAGAAGAAGAAGATGGGGGGAGCGTTATGACATTGAGCGAGAAAATGGAAGATTCGGAACATTAATAATTGTTGTAGACTTATATCATCTGTTCACTAATTTTCGGAAATACATAAAATGATACCAGCTCCCCCCCTCCCCCCCTAAAAAAAAAAAACACCAACAAAATCATAGCGTTATACACAATTTTTGCGGCTGACGACAAAGGGACATATTTTGTCTTGAATATGAACGAATATTAGGTCAACGGATCGATTAGAGGAGACAGAAAGCGCCGAGATGGAGAATAATATGTTATTCCAAGATACAATGGGTGAAAAATATGAGAAAATTGTGTTTTTAGAGCCTCGACACCGAGAGAGAGAGAGAGCACCTCGCGCATGAATAACGAGGCAAAGCACCCCGCAGAGAGCGGGGCGATGATGCGTGCGGGGCCCGGAACGCCCCGGTAATGGATCTTGCAAGATACGTCCGTCTCGCTTTGGCCATATGTTCAACAATTCTTTCCTTAATTTCCACGAGTCTTCATCACTGTAACCCTCCTTACCATTTCTATGCGCTGTCCCTCCCTGCCCCTTCTCCCTCCTACTTCCCCTCTCTCCCTTTCTCAAACTATTTCTATATTCTATCCCTCATCCTTACTTGTCCTCTATTATCACCCTCTCTCCCCCACCTTCTCTCTCTTTAGGCTCCCCCTCTCTCATCCACGCTCTATTTCTCTCTCTCTATTCCTCTCTCTCTTTCTCTTTCTTCTCCTCTCTCCACCCACTCCCCTCTGCCTCTCCCAAACCGTCCGCCATTTCGGGGGAATACATGACATTAAAAAAAAAATGAACTTAAAAAACTAGCATTAACCCCAACGTGACATCCTCAAGTACTCTTCATAAAATTAGAAGAAAATATCGCAGCAATAGTGGTGTTTTAGCTATTGAATCTTGTTGTGGTCTAGCGGATATGCCAACGGACTGTATATCACATGGCCCACGTTTCGAGTCCCACCGTGGCACTAATAACCTTTCTCAAGATATTAATCTACATGTTCGACTCTCTATTTAGGTGTTAAATGGGTACCCAGTATAGGATGTGAACGTGGTTGGATTGGAAAGTGTGCGCTTGTAAAATGGCGCCTGGCTGTATTGTACCCCCCAGGGAGTGGAGCGTGTGCACTATCATGTATCTTATTGTAAATTGCATATTCATGTAGTATTAAGCGCTATACAAATGTGACTATCTTTATTATTAATAATAATATCGAATATTTAGGAGCACTAAAAACAATAAGTCATTAGCAATATATGACATGAGGACAACAATTTACAGTCTCACAGGAAGTAGACCACTTAGATCACTGAAGAAAAATTTAGTTTTGATGGATCTGTTGAAGGTTATTATCATTGAATTGAATAATGGATTTCCGCTTATACATTTTCTATTACTGGCAATGACTGGTTGAAGTTAATTCACTTGATCCGCCATATACCTGGAATATTTTATTCACGTATTTCCATCACGTTCGTATCAAATATAGTCAAAGTCAGTTGATTGAATACAATTTTCTCTAGAAAGTTAAGGTGCTCTCTTGACTAATGGAAGTATTGGTGGGCGTTTCCTCCTTTTTGTTTGTTTATAGATGCATTATTTTTAGCGTCCTAGTTTTATCTCTTAGTCATGGCCTCAAAAATGGAAACATGGTTATGCCTGTTAACCTCTTTAAAGACCCTAATTATTATAGAGAATTGTATTTTGTTATTTTGTTATTTTATACACAAAAATACTTCTACTCCTCTCTTATTCCTCAACTTCTCCCCCTCCCCCGCCTCCTCTAATGACCAACCTCCTCCCCTTCTACTCCCACCCTCCTCCATCTTCCGTTCTCCCTTCTTCTCCACCTCTCCCCTCACCTTCTCCCATTCCCAATCTCCTCCACATTCAACTCCCATTCCTACCCCCTCCTATTCACCATTCCTCTTCTCCTCCTCCTTATTTCTTCCCCCTCCCCTTCCCCCCTCCTCCACTCTATTTCACCCCCTCCCTGCCACGCCTCTTCGCCCTCTCCTCCATCTCTCCCCTCTGGCCATCCTAATCTTCTCTTCTTTTTCTTCTCTTCACATCTCTGTCCTCCTCTTCCTCCTTCGAATCCACCCACCATCCCGCCATTCTCTCGATTCCCTTCTTTTACTTGCTGACATTTCGAAAGATGATACATCAATTAGGGGCATCTAAACCGCAGATTAAATTGCCATTTTTGTTTTTGCCTGTCACCTTTCAAACTCCTAGGTGAATAAGATGCGGGGTTTGCTTTATCCGCTCAAGGTCACGATATGGCGGCAAAAAACCCCCGAGAAATGTTAATGTATGCAAGAGATACGTCAAAATGCATAGAAGTTAAGGGAAATCAGAGAGGATGAAAATTAATCATCGCAAAAGAATTCTGAATATTCAAATGTGACTCTTTCCTCTTGCCTCGATCTCTCTCTCTTTCTATATCTTCATCTCTATCTCTTCATCACTGGTTATTATTATTTCGATTACGTATTTTTTCAGTTTGAATAATTTTATGTCCACGTTCTTTTAAATGTTCAGATTGAGAGATATCTTGAGATGAAAACACCGAAATCGTCGAAAAGTTCTCATAAATGCATCGGATTGCAGACTGCACCACAAAACCAATTTTGGCGGGAAAGCTAGAGCCAGATGCAATCGCTGTGTGACGTCTGATTACAAAAATACCTCGTTGACACGTTCAAAACACACACAAACCGAGATGAGATAATGGACCTTAACTTGATGTGACTTAAAGGACAAAGTTGATGTCCTTTTTTCAATAATTATTTTCCCGTATTATAATGTTATCTACCGCTCAACATAATAATTTCCTATGTGACCCCTGAAGGCTCGTTCAGAGATGACGCGACAAAACCACGGCGGTTTTTAAAAAAAGTAATGATTACGTAAAGTGTCTTCATATCACAGTATGTTCTTTTGCAGAAGCCATGCAGTTACCTCAAAAATCTGCGGTGGTTTTTTTATATTTTTAATATTTTTTTGACGCACAAAATCTGAACACTGTATATAGCTGTATACCGGTTTGAGCTCTACCAGTCGTACCAATTCGCCTATTGAACATGCATGTCTATAACAAATACACTTTCCTACAAAACATGTGTCCACCTTTTCAAAGAAGGTTAAAGAAAGTATTACCGTGTAGCTAATTGGTCCCTTTCACCGTTTTCATGAAATCAGTATGTCGTTACTATAAATGTATCACATAATGTCAAATCTATCATTGCTATCAAGGCTTGTGTTATAACTATAAGTACAACTTTGTAAAGGTATAGCATTACATATTCCACTTTTTGTAATGGGTATACTCAATGCTGCCGGATACTCACTGCTATGTTATCTACTGTTTGTAATCGACCTGATTATATATCTAAAGGTTATCTAACCTTATTATCAGTTTATCATAAGGCTATCTGCCACTGAGCATATCTTATCCTACTTGGCGCCATATTGCTGTGTAGAGCTCTAACAAATTGCCCATTGAAGTTTTCTACGCTTTTTTTGTATAAAGTAACGCAGGTAATAACGCATTCGAAGAAGAAGTAATGAGACCGCAGTGTCTGATAGGATATTATTAGTACGAGACAATAAAAATGCGGTTAAGCTAAAATTGAATGATAAATGAAATCGTCCTCCTCCGGCACTGTTGAATCGTAAGTAATATAGGGTATGAAGTTGAATCTATATTTTAATACGAAACATGTCTCTACTTCTCCAGGGTCAGCACAATCACACTGTTAAAGCGTGTCAGATCCCGCAATTTTACGCCACATAACTTCAATATCAGTCAATTCCGCCATAAAAGAAAGCGGCGCTCAGATTAAAACTACGATTTTCCAAATCACTGTATATGGGCAACTATAAAAGTACCGAAACCTCATTCCCCCTATATCCATTCCTAAATTGTCTCCCACCTTTCATTATCTGATTGGAAAAGGATATCAATACTGTGAAATTGTGACTCAATGTCTATTGGTTTCCTTGTTTGATTTGGGCAGACAAGCGTCGGGAGATTGGTCAACTTAAGTATAGCTCAAAAGGCCCGCCTGATGATTTTACAAGCCTTGAACTTGCAGACGACACCGGCAACGCAATCCTATTGAACACCCGTGGTTACCTAGCCAACCGAAAACGGATTAATCAATTCTAAGTCCTGGTGTTTGAGCTTCTCTCTCTCTCTCTCTCTCTCTCTCTCTCTCTCTCTCTTTCTCTCTCTCTTTCTCTCTCTCTCTTTCTCTCCCTTTTGTCTTCTCTTTTTCTTTTTAAATCTGTTCAATTTTTGTATGTTGTCATATTTTCTGTTCAGAATTTTACACAATCTCTCTCCCTCATATCTTACTGATCTCGTTCATGTTAGGCACTCCAGTTACAACCTAAGATCCAACACTCGTACAGTTTTAGATACCCCAAGGTGTCGAACCAATGCTGGTAAGCGGGCATTCATAGCCACTGCTCCAAAATCATGGAACAATCTCCCCAATTTTGTACAAACTGCTGATTCTCTAATGACTTTCAAAAAACACCTCAAAACACACTTGTTTAACTAATGCCCGCTTACCAGCACTTGTTCTTGCTCTTCTATTACCTGTCTTACCCTTTATTTTGTTCATTCCTATATTGTTACATACATGTCTGTTGTTAAGCATCTTTCTATTTTGTTAATTGTTCATTGTATATGTTAATTAAGCGCTTTGTATCTACTTGTAGAAAAGGCGCTATACAAATGTTCATTATTATTATTATTATTATTATGTCTATGGATATATCCCCTTCAAGTTGTTTTTTTTTCGTTCTCGGGCCGTTTGTTCTCTCTCTTTTAAAGTTTATCATAATATCTTTATGCTTTAAAAATTTTCTCTTTAGAATTCTCTACGTCTCTCTCTCTCTCTCTCTCTCTCTCTCTCTCTCTCTCTCTCTCTCTCTTTCTTCTTTGCATCATACGCACTTTCGGATGGAGTCGGGATGAGAGAAGGTGAGGCAACAGTGCAATCTCGTTCTAATAATATTGAGGAATCGCTGAAGGCCTACATGTTGAGGTATCGTGCTCGAGTGGATATGTCACCGGACTGTCGATCACAAGGTCCGCGGTTCGAGTCCCGCCGCGGCACTATATGTCATTTGGCAAGACATTGATCTACATTTGCCAAACTCAACCCAGGCCAGGCAGGAATTAATTCCTTGAAATGCCAGCCGTCCTAAAGCGAGGGTAATAATCGGGAACGCCAGGAGTAGCAAGTCTTACAGCCACGAGTCCTATACAAAAACCCACTATTATTATTGTTATTATAACTTAACTTTTGTGCCACTTGAAATGAAAGCTTGCAAACCGATTGCTTGGAGAAAATTTAATAGAATGAATTTCACTAGTATACCCTAGATGGTGATCAGGAAGAACACAAACTGACACTTGTATGCGGTTTCATTTCTTCTAAACGATGCACATGGAGAGTTTGGTGTATATATAACTTCTTGTATTTGCTTTGAATCCTCTATCAAGCTATATTTGTTTTTCTCATCTTTACTGAATAACCGAAGAAGACTTCGTCATCAATCTCATAGGAAATCTAGCGGAAAGGAGATGCATGAATAATCTTTTGGTTATTGTGATCTTACTTTTGAAGATTTACAGGAATAACATGACTCTACATTACGATATATCGTTCTAAATTTATTTTTAAAAAGTAGGATAGTATTTATCATTTGAAGCAAGGACTTAGGCCTCCTTGGTTATAGAGAGAGCAAGAGAGGTGCAGAGAGTGGGAAAAAAGAGAGAGTGAGAGAGAGGGAGACAGACAGACAGAGAGAGAGGGGGAGAGAGAGAGAGAGAGAGACGAGGAGAGCTCGGCGGCGGAATGTTTGTTCGTCTATGATTCGCGCACCAATGAGTGAGCACTAAAGTATTAGCATGTCGGAGGAGGAGTGAGATGGTGATGATGGGGGTATTTTGACTGGGATACAGGGCACGCATCGCCGCCATCTCCAGGGATGATTTGGTAAGGATACTCCAGCGATTGAGAGCCACTTATCAGACGAGCGAGATGACAAAAACTGATCATTTGACCGCGGAGATTTGCTCGGTTCCTTTCCGACTCCACTCCAACCCGCTCTCGACAGTCAAGTACTTACACCAATTACTGAAGATGGCCAAATAACGCCGATTGTCTCCGCGTATTCTTCCTCAAACAACTCGCGCAATTTCGCATCTTCTGTCGCCAAAATTGATGCTCTCTTGAATTGTTCTACGCCGTATCAAAATCAAATTTGATTTGACTAAACACCATCAAACAACTCGTGAAATGTCAGAATGTGTGCAGTCTATCCGATTTCTGTTTATTAATACGACTTCTTGAGATTCAAAAGGATTGACTGATTACCTTTAACTGGTAAACCAACTTTGGACTTGTCCGACATTGTAATCTTCATTTGATTGGGATTTTACCAGATATTTCGAGGAGACTTCCTGAATGCAGCATCACATTATTTGACACAAAAACTACAATTTCTGAAAACCGCAGTCATTGGGACGATCTAATCTTTGTCAACCGGTCCTTGTTTCTGTGCGGATCTCTGAAATTCGGTGTTATGAAAAAAGAGGAGATTTGCTTTACTAATTTGCACTAATTGATCAGAGATCGCATTTATGCGATGGATTTATGAGAGGAGACATTGAATTAAAAAAAGTTTTTTTCTTCAAAAAGACGCACTGGTGGATTTCACGGAAACATTTACCGAGCTAGGTGCACTTTTAAACAGAAGAGGAATGTCAACGCAATCAGCACTATCAAAGTGAAATTTCTGAGCCTAGAAAAAAAACAGACAGTAGGTGAAGAACTTTGCCAACAATACATTTCCCCATTTTGTTTTGTATGAAAATTGTATTCTCTCCAGAGTCAACGGACAGAGTTGAATTTTGAGTTACTTTTGAGTAAAAAGTAAGTTTGACAATCTTACGAGCTGTTTCATGTACATTTCATTTGAAGTCATCAGTGATCGTACGTTAATAGGGACAATAGTGTAGAAAAAAAACCACCTCATTGTTGAAATGGAGAATCAGCGCATCATCGACATCGGGATGATAGGACAGCCTTTCAAGCCTATGAAGCAGGTCATTGATCAGGAAACATTGAGCGTCGACTACCCTCGACAGCGAGCTCTTCAATGCCTGAGGATGATGAGCGATTGCGGTACTGCAGAGATCTTCAACAAAGCGATGTCGACGACCATGAAAATGCAGGACCCAGAGTGGGATTGCGACGATGATAGCGACGTCGATAGCACGGTAACGCGTTCTAAAGAGCGGTCAGATCGAGGATCGAGTTCGACGGCGACGAGCACGAAATTTCACGGACACCGAGATGGAGTGAAGACAGGGAAGAAGGGCATGAAGCCGCATTTGACGAAGAAAGGCGACCCGCGAGTTCAGAAGCAGATTCGTCTGAATATCAATGCTCGAGAGCGACGACGGATGCACGATCTAAACGACGCCCTGGACGATCTCCGTGGCGTTATCCCGTACGCTCACAGCCCGTCGGTTCGCAAGCTGTCAAAGATTGCGACGCTTCTCCTTGCCAAGAATTACATCCTGATGCAGGCTAATGCACTGGAGGAGATGAGGCGGATTTTCACTTTCATGAACCAGCCGCAGCTCTGCTTACCACCGACCCTGCCCTCGACCACCTACCCGATGTCGCCCGCATACCACGCTCCCGACATTGCCGTTCGGAACAACAGCAGCGCCGGGCACCCTCTCACAAGTAAGATCCTCGAAAGCTCCTCGGCTGCCATTAATCTCCCAATTTCTTGTCGCCGAAACGGTATGCAATCCATGATGTCATCATCATCGTCATCGTCATCATCATCATTGTCGTGTCATCGTTGTATCGATAGACCTTCTACTAATAGAAATCATGAAGCAAGTGAACATTCTTTTATCTAACTTATGTATGTCGCATCAGTCGCCTGGCTGGCAGAAGGGCGTTAGCTCGAATTTCAGGTAAAAAATGAAGCGTTAAACAAAAGGGCGTTACTAAATCGCCTCAAACTTTTATAAAACTGACTTATTTCCCCAAAAAAATTGTGGCCGTGTTCTACTATAACAACTCTATTAGTCTTTTAAAGGTAAAGACCAGTTATGGTCATGCGATTGCATTGTGATAGAAACGTTGTAGAATCGATCAGAAAAGGTTGATCATCTAGCATCTAGCATCTGCAAGGTTCTGGAATCATCAAAATGATAAGAAATTTGGCCCATTCTTCGTAAAGTTACAAGCACTATACACAGAAAGATGTATATGGGACTACCCTATATCTCTCACAGACCATGAGAGAAATAAATTTACCAAATATATGAATTAGTAGGCGGTTTCCCGGCAAATTTTTTATCATGTATTATTCAAAACATATTCTTTCACATGATTGGTAATGAGAGCTTCCATTTCATTTTTTTAAATTGGGGCGTTTCCAATACTGGTCTTTACCTTTAAGTTTAAAACCAATTTTCGGGACGGAAAGCAGCTTAAATATAAAACAAATCTTTAAATGCGAATAATTCGAAAAGTAGTTTTCGAGTCGCTCGGGCGCTAACGCCCTTTTGTCAGCCGGCCGATGTTAAAATAAGACTTCACGTTCTTCAAATGTGTAGATATGGTATAGTGTGATACATTTCTCGCTATTCGAGAAAAAAAAATATAAAACGACGTAAACTCGCGGCCAGATTGTGTTTTAAAATTTTGTTTGATTATATATTCATCTCTGTTCAATCATTTCTTCGGGAAGTAAATTGAATATTGATTAGGAAAAAGGATAGAGAGCAAACCATGCGACCATATCAGTACACCAAATAGATCCTGGAGGTTTCTAAGTGACATGCAAAAATATTCCAGTTTATACAGTGTACCTTACCTATTTAAACCAACAGGATTGTATTTTCACATGTAAAATATACAACAATATCACCAGTAAGGTAACATTAATTAGAAGAAAAAAATCTTAAGCGTAAGGCAGTTATGCTTTATTCTTTTAAATCTCTGAATATTATTAAGAAACTGCAGGATTCCTAGTATCAACTTTAATTTGAAGAAAAAAATGATTCTTTCTGTTCAATCTTTTGTCCACTTTTTTCCAGTTTAATGTTTTAGATAATTAAAGATAGAAGCGGAATCCTAAAACAATGTACGTTCTCATTTAATCTGAGACTCGGGTTAGAGAGAAAGATTGAATTACAATTTCCTTTTCCAAATGTAAACTGTCCTGCAATTGTTTTGTATGTTTTAAACAAATTTTTGTTGTTGGAAAATGTGTGTTAAAAATGACTAGACTATCCTGTTATGAGTGTGTTAAAAAGAGTATACCAATATATATTTTCTCTTTTTTTAATATATAAATTGCGTACAAATCGGCAAATTTTAGGTGGAAAGGTTAGAGTGTAAACGGTTCCGAATACCCAGATTGTTACTTTCAAAAGACATTTTCAACCGGTGTTTAATTTCTTGGTTCTACTGGAACTAATTTCTATAACGTCATACCATAATTAATAAGTACTTCAACATTGTATTCCTAAAGTTTAAACGTTGATTTAAAAGAAAGTTGAGCTAATAATCACTATTTTTTTTTTACTCTAACATTATTATTTGTACCCTTATATTCAAGAACATGAACTTGAAAAGACAAGGATCGACATGTCCCTATATATTCAAAATATTATCAATAATTGCTAGTATATCATAACAAAAATTTGGACTGATAATAATGTTCACAGTACAATTACACGACTATTTCTCAATTGATTCTTACCTATAATGAACATGAGTAACGTACATCTTTTTATGCGCTGTTATGGAAAGAACAAAGTAAGCATTGTCGGAATTGCCTTTGACAACAGGATGGGTGTCGCGTTTCTATAGCAACACTGGATGGTGGTGTCAAAACTGAAATAAATCCGAGGAGAGCTAGAAGGGCGTTACCTTAGCTTACGACCTCCTGGCTCTCAGCTCACGATACCAGTTATGGCATTCTAATCTGCATCTACCATTCAACAATTTGCTAAATCAACAACCTAAATAGAATAAGTAAGATTCTCTCCTGCCCCTTTTTTTCTTTTTTCTTTACATTTTGATCTCCAATCTGGGGACAGGGGGCTAGCAAAGTGGGAAAATGTCCCCAAGGTTTTGTGATTGTTTTAAGACATTAGGAGGAGGCGGAGTATGGGGATTTGGGATGTTTTTAATCACAGCAGCTCGAAGGCAAATCCTCAACCGCAGCTTGCCGGCCAATCACGGCGGTATAAACACGGGGAAGCAGCCTTGTGTACTAATCCCAATTAGGGGACGGTTTTGGAGGTGATGTGCGGCCCCTGGAGGACAAAATATGAAACCCACTATCACCCCAGGAGATAACTCGACATCCACGTGATTGAATTAAACGAATGAACAAGGGAGGAGAAGGGGAAGAAATCAGTCAAAATAGGAAATATGAAAGATGTGGGAATTCTAGAACATGGTTTTTGCTGGCTGTGCTAGAGAGTAGAAGAAGCCGTGGGCTTTCAGCGCATAGGATCGCACCCCGCTCACCGCAAACCAGGCGTAGAATTGGCGCCAATTTGAGGCGGAATCCCGTGTCGATTCCGATATGATGAAAAATCAACCATTCGCGTTTTGTTTTGCCGTGATGGCGTGATTCCTTTCTGTTTTTTGGCAGCTGTCCCCATTAAACAAAAAACAAAGGAAGTCATGAGTGTTTCCGTTCTGCAAGCATTTCCTTCCCACCCGACATAGCAACACATTTATTTGTTCTCTTTGATGATATCCAGGTCATCCTCAAATAGGAGTATTCGAGGTATGAAATGCCCAGTAAATAAACGCTTAACACAATTTGTATTCTTAACCCAGTTTCTACAAGGTTTTATTCTAATCTTCTTTTAAGAAAGAGACAGGCGCAAAAATTCTGATGCAGATTCTGATGTCTTCTTTCAATTTTAGCATTTCGAGCAGAGGACTACCGACAAACATGCTGCAATCGTATTAACGTGTATATAACTTTTAAAAGAAATACGAAATAATACTTTGCCTAGCCGACATATAGATAGCACAGACTTTCTGATTTAAAGTCGGAAAGATATTTAGCATTCTTGCTTGCAAACGAACTTTATATCTCCATTATAACTATAGTCTCTTTCTACACCATTTTTAAAAATAATTTTGTTTATTTGTTTGTTCGTTTTTTAAGAAAGAATTAGCAATGAAAGACAAACCATTTTGATAACTTACTGTAACTTCTCTCATGATCTCTCTCACACCCTACATAAACGTTAACAAAAATATTTATTATCGTCTCTTTTTCCGATATCATATGGGAGCGACTTCCCAATTTCAAGATAATAATATTATTCAAATTCTTGCTAGAGAAAAAGGAATCAGGATTTAGGCCATACGATAATTATTGTTGCCTTTATCCACCCCACATGTCTAATTTACATCGTTTTGATGATTTCCAAGTCTCAAATAAATGCCTCTCACTTTCCTCCCAATATTCGTTTTTTTGTGTGATGGCAATACTGTGACAGATGCCAGTGTAAGTGATGCCAAGGTCAACCGGGGCGCAATAGGCTACCCAACCCGGGGACGGGCCATGATACGCGCACATATCCCTGGTATTCTTTTCCGCTCGAAATATCGGCATCCATGGGGTTTTGTGTACATCATGAATAACGTATTTGTATAGCATTATAACGCCGTGTACATAAAGATTTTGACATTATGAGAATGATGCAAAGATGGAAAAGACATTGTTGATCCTCTTTACCTACTTAGCTGTTTTCTTTTGTATTAAATGACATTAAAAATATGATTTATGTATTATGATATCGAGCTAATATTTGGTTTCTTTTGCTGTAGTGTTTTTGCTCTTATAGGATGTACAATATAATATAAGTCACGTGTAAATTCATAACTGCATAATGATCATCAAATTAAAATACTCAAAATCAGGGAATATACATGGGCCGGGGGTGGGGGATCTCGAAGTGGATAGTACAGAGAATGAGCAAAATAAATGCAGAGACAGGAAATGAGAGTGAGAGTGTGCTGTAAACATTGAGTGATTGAGTGAGAGAAAAAAAAAAAAGAGAGAGAGAGAGAGAGAGAGAGAAAGAGACTGACAGATATGAGGAATATAATTACAAAGTAATGGAAGAGTTTATATTCCATTATATAGAAAAGAAAGAAATTGAAAAGGAGCTAAACATGGTAAGAAAGGGATCGAGCGGGAGGATTGTAAGATCGGGAAAGATGAAAATAAAGAGAAAACAAATAAGAAAGATAAATAGAGAGAGAGAGAGAGAAAGAGAGAGAGAGAGAGAGAGAGAGAGAGAGAGACTGACACAGATAGAGGCAAAATAAACGAGAAAAAAAATAATCAAATACAAAGAGGCAATGCAATGACAAAATCCCATCAACCACCTTACCTCAGACAGTGTAAAATATTCAATAATCCTATGGTTGTTTAACATCTTAACGTGATACATGACGCGATTTCATTAACCTCCCCAATGGTAAAGTTTTCTTATTAGAAAAGAGATGATAATAATTATATAGAACGACGGGTCGTGAACAGTGGAGGAAAGAAATATCGCAAAATAGAGAGCTTACAAAAGAAACGGAAATGGTAAAGAAAACATATACAAAAACAGATATAGAGGAAGAAAACAAAGCAATTTAGAAAAAAAAACATGAAAAAGGAACAAACGGACAGAATGGGACTGACGTCGCGATTCGTCATTGTTTTTAAAATAACTTTGTATTTGTATTTTTTTTTAAAAGAACTCTATATATTGCTTTATCTCTCTCTCTTGCTCTTAATCTCTCTCTCTCTCTCTCTCTGTCTCTCTCTCTCTTTCTTTCTCTCTCTCACTCCTTTTTCCGTTTTGTAACTCTCATGTAACTCCATATTAATTTTTCATGTATTTC